CTGCAGAATGAGATTCACGATGCAGAAGTAAGTTTAAGGAATTGAGCTGATAACAGAGTTCAATCTACAAGCCAAATCTATAAATAAAAATTTTTGACAAGAATGCCCTACTTTGTTTACTCTAACTTGTAACAATCGAATGGCTCTTAAAATCTTTCATTGACTGGCTATTGTCCTCTACTTTCAATCTGGTCTCCTACTACCCGTCTCCTCATTTCATCCTTTTGTTCTCTATTCTTCCGATTTTTTTGTTTATATCTCCTTCTTTTCTCTTTCTTCGTGGTTTTGAAGGAACCCTGGCTCTTTTCTTCTATCCACGCACTAGGCTCCACAACAACCCCAATACAAATTTGTTAGCAAATGTTAGGTGGACGGTGTTATAACTTTTATAGCTAATAACTTTTTTGATGTTTTAATCTTTGATGATAATCTCGCTTCATTTAGGAAAAGAAATCGGAATTAGAAGAGCAAGTTCGTAAATTGCATCAAATGGTCCAAGCCAGACAAGAGAGCGAAGAGGATTTCGTCACCCGAGTAGGAAAGCTGCAGGTGAAATAATTTGCAATGTTTCATTAAAACAGACAGAATCATTCTGCTGTCCGATAAACTAGAAATTTAGTAATTCAAGTAAAAATGTTACTTTCATAACCATTGATAAAACTGACAAATCTTGCTTTCCTTTTAAATCTAGAATTTCGGCACGTTTGCTTTGTTATTGTTTTCATTGTATCGAGGAGTTCCTTGGCATGCCTCTGTTCCCACCGTTGATTGTCCCTCCTCAAACAAGGCCTTTTCGATTTTCAGGAGGACAAGAGACAGCTCCAAGAGAAACTTAGTCAGCAGCAACGTGTTTTGGCTTCAGCAGAGCAGGAGAAGAGGGAGCTTGAAAGAGCCCAGGTTCGCGTGGAAAAGGACAAAAAGGCACTCAAGGCCACTCTCGATAGGGTATGCAGTTTTTTTCGATGACTTAAAACAAAGTTTATTTGATATTAGCTACATAGGCTGCTGGGGACGCGGAAAAAGATTCAACTTTTTGACAAGTTTCAGGTTGATTTGATAAAAGAAATTTGCCAAATTGCAAAAAAACCTTTTTTTACTTCCATATTTCCCTTGCTTTGATAAATTACAGATGAGATACATTTCAAGTAAATTTCTGCTGTCTTATCCATTGATGTAGCTGGATAATGGAATGAATTGATTACAAAACATTGTACCATTTGTAGATTGAGAGAGACAAGCTGAACACAGAGGAAGAACTTAGTAAAGTCAAGGAAGAAAGGTCTGCTTTAGACAGATCGTTGAATTCGCAAGATCAGGATATGCTTGAACTGAGGTCACAGATACAATCATTGCAGCAAACCTTGGCTGATACTGAAGACTCACATGCCAAAAAGTAAGTTTTTTATTCAGATTTTATCCTGAATTGGGCTTTTTGCATTAATTGTATCTGTAACTTGATTGGTTATGTCGTTTTAAAGAAATTGTTACTTTTTGGTTTGGGAAAACTCTGGAAAGAGTAATTTTACCTTGAACAGGCTCAATGAAAGGTCTTCAATGGGAGACATCCCTTCCCTCCTCTCTTTCCTACAATCCCTTTCGTAGACAATTGTTTTTTATAGTTTCTTTAATCAAAGCCTGTTCCAAAAAAGTAGCTAGATGTACATAAACTGCGAAACCCTCCTGGCTGTCTCGCCTGGCATACAGTTACCCCCCCCCCCCTTCCTTGGGTGACTCGCCTATCTTCATTTTTGGACTTGAGTAAATTATGAATTGCCCAGGGTTGTTATGAAATTTCATGCCCCATGTGGTATTCTATAGTCTCCTCCATTCTAACCATTGATCAATTTGGTGTTTTGTTAGACTGATGGAGATTGCTGAGAGACACAGGGACGAGATCGATCGCGAAGCAGAACGGTCGAAACAGGCACAATCACACTTGGAGAGAACCCACCAAGCAAGAGAACGTGCTCACAAGCAGAGAGTGAGGGGGCTTGAAGAACAGGTAACGTGTTCAGTTTTGTCTGCCCTGTTGATAGAACCGTATGTTAAAACAGTGTAAGGTCGTACTATAAAAAAGGGGGTACTCCTTTTCTCAGAATTGTAAGTGGATGTTTCGTTGAGGCTATGCGCTGAGCCTTTCTTGAATATTTATTCTAGGTAAACACATTGAAAGACCAACTGAGCAAAGAAATGCAACAAAAGCACTCGTTTATAACAAAGACATCGCAGAAATCAGATGAAATCAAAGACATACGCAGCAAATTGAGCGATTCACTGCACAGCGTTGCCCGCGAGCCAGCCGTGCTAGACCGCGAGACATTGAAGCTTGATCAAACAGCCGACCAGATTTCTGGTATTGATATCGGCGATTCAACATACCCGACCAGCACACCCTATTACGGAAACATGCGGCGCACAAAATCATCATCACCATCTTTAATCTCACCTGAAAAGCTGAAGATGTCCGGCATAGCCATGACTCCTACAACTGACCCTGGTATCAGTCCAACAAAGCGTTCCACTCCAATCACAGCAGGCCTGAGAAGATCTGGCATGGTACCAAGGTCATCGGTCTCAAGCGCCCACAGCAAATCAAGAAAAGACTACCAATAGAAGATCGTTTTAGACTGCGCTGAACATATTAGCTTCTGATTCGTTAATGGGTTAACATTTTTGTTATTCAGACTTTTTATCGAACGTTCTGTTGTTATTGTAAAGTGCAAAGTTTTTATCTGTTTCTACTTGGTTTGGAGAACGTATTTGTTGTTTTTCACTGATCGCTGAGTGCAGCATGTCTAGAAGGACAACCACGTATTGCACCACTTCTCTCTCGTTTTGATGCCATTTAAATGGTTCTTCTTCCTATGTTTTTATTTACATAGGCCTTTCTTTTAACGATATGAAAAACAAAGCCTGCTGTTAACCGTATAGCCTTATATTTTGCTCCGAACTTGCGATCCAACAATACGCTGCAAACCATTTAGTTGATAGGGTTTTTAGCTTCGTGTTAGATTTTTCAGCTGTAATTTGCGACTTAATTGTAAATGGGGGGAGTAGAGACTTTGATTCTATTGATTTTCACAATAGCTTATGACACAGAGACTGATTTTGTATATTTTAAGATTATGGGAGACGTAACTTTATGTGTACACTCTATCCATAGTAAACATTAGACGTAGTGATTCTGCGTGCTTCCGCGAGATACTGCATGACACACGAGCTTCACAATCGATGATTAATTATCCGACCATGACAATGGTGCTCTACTCACAAAATATCTGGATTTTCAAATCTGTTTGCAATAAAAACTTAATATATTCAATTTTGTAAAACATTTCGTCCTATCTGATCTTAGCCATTTAATACTCAATCACACCGTACACCATTGATTATGAAGTTGTAAAAAGTTGGCGTCTTAGATTTGTGCTGTAAACATTTTGTGATTATCTTATCAATATAGAGAAGGAAAACATAACGTTCAAGTGTTTTTGCCCCATCCTCATTTCTTCCCAGTGCATTTCTACTTTTTAAACCCAGTTTTAAACCCAGCATTTCTACATTTTCATGGTTCATTATCCATAACTTTTACAAGTTTTTATCTAGATAAAAACTCTGTTTTTTATTTTACAACTTTTGTCTAAGTTTTTTTTCCTAAATATGCCCGCCTGCTACTTACCTAGTTCTGAAAATGTCATAGTAAATTCTATAAGGTCTTTCAAAAATTGTATGCTTTCTTGTTAGCTGATTTTATACTGCCTTGAGGTTATTTGCATGCTTCTTGAATAGAAGGATATGAAGAAGTTGCAGCTTTGCCTAGTTAAAAGCCTAGCCACCAATGCCTAAAATGGGAAGGTCCTTTACACGGCCCACTTTACAAAAACTATAAGACAGGTAAAGAAATGGCCGTTTGATCTTCACTGGTCGATCATGACAGAGAGGGAAACAGAAAGACAACGCTTCATGGCAACTTGTATTAAAATCTGTCTGTCAAGTAAATGAATTCAAAACAGATGACCTCATCTTTTCTTTAACTATAATGCCAGTGTTGTCAAATGATGTGCTTCTTGACTTTAAATTTGAGCTTTGATCAACCTAGAAATTTTGAAAATATGACTGTTAATTTTCAGGATAAAAGCACCAACAATTTGGTCATTTTCATTTACTGTGTGACGTCATCAAAGCATTTCATAGGTGAGAGTGGTTTTTACTCTCATTCAATAAAGTAACAAATTGGAAACTTTTTACGATGTGTTCAAGAAAAGGGGACTGCCAACGGGGGCACAGCTTTCTTTTTATGCATCAAGTGTTAACTCCTTCTTATCCCACTGAACCTCTGGTAACGCTCTAACTGTTCTGGAACAATCACTGCCAAAAGTCTTGGAACAATAACGTCAGTTTTCAAAAGCAAATTCAGCCACCCCAATCCTCCCAAGAAACAATGTTGATTTAATTTAGGAAGAAATGTTATTGAGTATACTTTTTCTTGTGGTTTGAATGGTATTTTCCTAAGCTATCAACATTGTTTTGGAAATGGGGAGAGGGGCTGGGAGAAGTAGTATTCGGGGAAGCAATTGAAAAATAGAAAAGCACTGCGCAAAGTGTTGGGTGTTCCAAGTAATTTTGGCAGTGATTGTAGATTATATCAAATGGCAAATAACGCACGAGAATACGAAAGCCTACTCACAGAAATCGCATGTCTTTCTGCAAATATCTTTCATGTCTGCTTTATGGCTTTCGCAGAAACCAGCTGCCTTCCAAGTACTACAGTATGGTCCTTCCCTATCAGTTGTGTCTTGGCAAGGAACTGTAAGAAAGAAACAGAATTCATTTTAATATTAATAAACAGTGTAGGGCTACTTAGCTAGAGAAAGAATAAAGGTAAAAAGGGGCACTTTTACTTGTACCAAGATCCTTGGTGCATATTTGTGTTCTTTCCATTCAATAGTGCAAATGAGCACCGCAACAGTTTGGTTTGAAATCGATCTGATCTTAGTTTTAACTAGCTATTATTTGGCAATTGTGATTCTTAAATTTTCTCCCCTTGCCCATATATTATCAGTTTTTTAATGGGACGTAATTGAAACAGCTCTATCAGGTTTCAAAGAAAATAAAATGTGAATCACACTACCTTTCTTTGTTTTCTAGGGTTTCTTCACTGGAAAAAAATTTAATCCAAGGTAAGCTTTTTTATACTGTTTGATTTTATCTTATAAAATGGAAAGCAAGCTGCTTGCAAATACATACCTGTAGGTGGCATGGTCGTTGCTGGAATTGACTTGCAGCTACCATCTTGGAAGCTGACGTCATCAATAGCAATGTCTCCTTGATAATTTTTGCCACGTATGCCTTCAAAAATGACCTGAAAGCGAGATGATTGGACAGTTTGTTTAAGTGATCAATTTAAAACGTACTCTCTGCTAAAGCTTTCTTACGTTCCTCTATGCCGAGGTCTTTCAACCTGGTGATATGTTTATAGTATGACTAGTTTTAATAGTTCAAACTTCAATCTCTATCTAATAAAACTCATTTAAAACTCGTCGTATTTTCGAACATAGAGTATATCTCTCACCATAACACACTGGCTATTTCTAAAGCCCTACTTACAATTTGAGACCAAGTTAGGGTCTGTAGTGTAACTGCAACTATGCTGGGTTCGACCCAGGTTAAGTCAACACATCTCTTGAATTGTGCTCATCCCTGGTTAGCTCGTGAAAATGGAGTGTAAATGCAACGCCAAGAACTTTACCACCTTGGCAAAAAGCTTTCATCGTTTTCGTTTGCCTAGTGTAGGCAATCTTAGGGGCGGATCCAGAGCAAACTTGAAGGAGGGGCAGTTGGTAGTGGGGGCGCTGAAAATTTTTAAAAAATTGGTGACGAGAGTACGCTGTAAACAACAATTTCAGATCCATTTACGGAATAAACAACATTACTTTGAGGTAATCCTTGAAGCAAATTAACCTATCGGTCTCAGAAACTTTTTCACCTGATTCTCATTTTTCAAAAGTGGCGCATTATTTCCAAAAAAAGGGCGCCAGACTTGCTTCAACTCGTCGAGGGAGGGTAACTGCCCCTAGTTGCCTCCCTTAAATCCGCCACTGGGCAAGCTAGCATAGACACAACTTGCTCATACAAAATGAACAGTAGGGGTTTCGTGTCTTAAATCTTTTGAAACCCTGATCCATTTTCCAAATTTCTTTATCAAAGGTCCGTATAAAAATTTGTCTTTACGTATGGCTTGATTGTACATATCTAGGGGCACTGGAAATCATCTAACGCTAGAAATATGCGAATTTACCTGATAACTTCCTTTTTTGCTTCTTGATGAAAGATTCAGCCTTATCTTTTTCCATTCATTGCCTTGACTGCCTGATAAAGAAATAAGCCTTCGCATAGATCCAGTTCTTGCCTCTTTAAGGTGGACATTAAATTTTCCGATGTTGACTGGATCAGCAGAATACATATGAATGTAGAATGTCATGCACTTTTTCCCATTGAGCATTTTGCTGAGCATTCTTGCAGTATCATTTTCCACTCTAGGATACGAGGCCTCGATGTAAGCAAATGCTCCTATAATAGAAACAGATTCATACAGTTTACTCTACGTAGTCTTCATTGAATTAAACAAAACTTTTGAAGAGGGGAGAGGAGTCGTCAGTTTAAAAGTTTGATAGCATGCAGCATAAAAATATATTTTTGCAACATATTGTTTGTTTCAAGAAACTTTGCAGAACATCTTTGCATTTGATAACATTTATCAAGCTATCTTTGCTGTGTTCACAATGAGCTTTTCGATTCGACTCGAATAGACGTGGATATTTGATACTTAGGCCTAACTTGGAAGCCTTCTATCCTCGTTTACAAGATCCGAAATCAGCAACTAAGGTTCGTTTTGATGTCATCAATACAATTTCCTCTACAGCATTGGATATAATAACTTTAAAAACATAGACTACAATCCCTTATAGAAATAGTTGAGACTTTTCAAAATTTGTTGATATTTTCTCTTTCCTTTAAAAAACGCTCCCCTCTACCCATTGAATGATGAATTCATGTTCTCGAAGTACAAATGATAGAGCTAATAGCCCAGCATTGATTCTTTTTCGTCGTGTACATATGTTCTACAAGCTTTTGCTCTCTGATGGATATTGTTAGAAGTTCAGTCAAATCTACGGACCTAATCTTCCTGTTGTGTGATCAACACTAGGTCCAGTTCCCCCGCTGTATGTTGCGCCTTTCCTCAGTGTCCAATCAAAATCGTCATCATTCGCTTGTGTGAAATGACAAAAGTCGTCGTCAAAAATGCAATCATCAGCACCTGAAACAAGTCAAAGAAGGCTTTAACGAATACCTTATTTTCACAGAGTTGAAACAGCTAAAAATTTGACTGTTTTTCAATACAAGACTCTACCTTTTACTTTCATCCAAGAATTGTTCTAAAGCAGTATTAAAATCTCACAACCTTTTTGTATTTGTCTCTGGATCATTGCATCTTTACTTGCTAACTGAAAGGGAAATTCACCACAAGGCAATTTGATTTTCTCACTAGCTTGGACAATTATCTTCGATAGAAAAATGCCCTTTAAATGTCATTTTCATTGTATTTTCAGCTTTTAACTTACCCTTTAAATCGACGACACTCTTTCGAAATGCTGGCTTTGTGGTTTTCCCTGAAAAAAGATGAGAAATTTTGAAACATATTTATATATTTGAAACAGAAATTATAATGAAACAGTATAAAACAAGAATTAATTTATAAGAAGACTGCTTTAAAGTTAGAGGAAAACTTTCCAAGAAAAAGAGAAAGAATTTTAGTGTTCTTCACCAGGAGCTAAAGATAGCATTGATTAAAGTAAATCGGTTCATTAGGCCTGTGAAAGTCAACTCTGTTTGTTCAACTCATATCGGGTAAGTTATTTAATGCTGAAATGAGAATGGGGGACTGGGGCGAGGAAATCATATCTGTCACAAAAGACGTAAGCTAACTGGGCGATACATAGACACGTAAGTTTAATTTCAGGGTTCATAAAAATGCTTGAAGTTATTTGTGAATGTTATTTAAATTCTCTGCTCGCATAGTTATTTAGTTCTTGTCCCACTCTGTAATACATTTAGGCCCGTTTCTTCCCATTTACCAAACCATCGTACCCGAACAAGCAGCATAGGCCGTCTTATTTGCATTTCTCCCAATTCAATTCAGCAATCTATGAAAGATTGGACGACACTTACCGTTGCATCTGTATAACAACATTGCTTGTACAGAATCAATGCCAGTAAACCCAACCTCATTTCCAAGCTGAACTACCCCAGGTTGCTTAGCAGCCATTGTTATGTTACCATTCATTGTAAAGGAGGTTTCGTCGTACTGCATCATGCTGTAGTAGTCGTATGGTGTTCCAAGACTGTCTACCTTTTTCTGTTTATCAAAATTGTAAGCATTGTCTGAAGAGGTAAAATATACGTGTAATTATAACTTTCTTTTGATATTAAACCAATTGAAATCTACGAGCAATATACCTTAAGTCAGTGAGTGAAATATCGTTATGAAAAGAGAAAGCTTTGTTTCATAGAAGTTTCATATTATATAGATGTTCATTAGATTATTGGCCCTGAATAAAGTTTCTGGTTTTTGGTTTTTCATTGCCAAGAAAGTATGATTTTTTACTGCGTTTATGAATAAGAAAACTTGGACCAGAACTGGCTCTCAACACCAAGAGGCATGCATAAGAACACGATGCCTTCAAATCTCTTTCGGGTTGATTCCACACAAAGAAACCAAATGCTGTAAATAAGGATTATTTCTGAATTTCGGTTACGTATTATTTTCAGTACCTGGATCAATGTTTTCCCAGATGACGTCAATGTAATTGTCCCTATCTGGACGGCTTTGTTCGTGCCAAAATCCCATCGCATGGGCTAGAAGAGATAAATAAAAAAATTGTTTACGAGGATTAGGTTTAACGTTCACGTTCTTAAGAGATATTAACTATAATAAATTAATCAAATCAATTTGTTTATCATTTTTTATAATTATATATATATTAATTTTTTCTGCGAAAAACATTTGGAGCATGTTTACAAGAAGCAGTTCATTGTTTGGAGTCAAAGAAGTCCCTGAAAGACTCTGAAAGGTTCTGCATGTAATTAAATTACTTAAATGACAATATCCAAACTTCTTTAGAAAAAATTTATTTTCAATTAAATTCGACCAACTTCAAGATCCGGAGTTTTAATTTGGTATTCAAAGCGTTGGTCTTGCTGTCTGCATCCGCTCAGCTGCCCGTTGTTAAGTATTTAAAACTCTACGCAACTTTAACTTTAAAACTATAAAACTTAAAAGTATGGTTTTCAGGGAGCCTTAAAGGCAAAATGTATGACGTCATACCAAGTTCGTGAGCAACAGTAGCTCTGCTGTGACAGCCGTTATCCAAACACAGTTCCTGTTTTCCTCCTTGGCGCCCAACGTAGGACCAGCATCTTCAGAAATACGACGATTTAAATTCTCAAGCAAAAAGAAATTTGATTGAAATAGTTATCATAGGTACAATCTCAGATATAGAATTGGCTTACATTCCCATTTCTAGTCATCTGAAGTGGGGAACACGTTGTGCCAGAGACCACGGGGCGTTCTATAGAGTTGGGGGGAGGGGGAGAGCTTTTTCAATGAATAATTTTAAGGCGAGTTGATGGTGAGCCATTTTATAATTCATTACGTTTCTAATAAAAATCATCTATCAAGTTCGTTAGGCGGCTTGCCACTTGCTTCTTGGATAATGCTATGCATAGGCTTCGATTTTATTGCCAGTGTGGTATTGGTGCAAATCGCATTGCGCTTCAAAAGTTTAGTATTTGGTTTAACGCAAATCTTATTGGCCATTGAAATTAAGTTTCATCTGGATCCAATAAAAGACAAATTATTGGTGTTAACAAGCTCAAAGACTACTTAACGAAAAAAGCTTGATTGGATACTGACCCAGAACAATTATTGAATATGTAAATGTAATCTTTTTCGGTTGTTCTTTCAACGAATTTCAAACAGGCATATGACTCCCATTCTCTGAAGCCTTGGAAAATTGCAAACATTGCCTCCTGATTTGCAGCTAGAAACAAAAAGAGATGACAAGTTTATTGCAGTAGAATAGAGAGTTTCTGTGAAAAACACTATAAAGGCCTATACAGAGCTCCTAAAATTGGTTTGAAGGAAATTGGGCTGTTCGCTTACTAACTTTGTTCATTAAGCCATGACATACTACAAAGAAAATATAAGACGAACATTTATTAAAATTCATAGGCTTTTAAATTCGAGACGATACGAAAAGCGAAAATTCTTGCTTGGACTGGCATTAAAGCAACCTGATAATTACTCTAGACTTTTGGTAAAATCTGTTTTTTTGAAAGATAATGCAGAAAAGATATTTTAAGGACTTTAGGAGCTATTCATAATGCTAAAAAAACTGATATTTCACACGTACATGACTCGTTTAATAATTATTTTTATCTTCCTGCATAATTTTGTGAGTTGCAGAGAAAAGAACACAGTGTAGATATTTTTGCTGTAAGATGTAGCAACTATGGGATCAAAGAACGTAAGTCGCTAATTTGTTATAAAGTGCTGCCAAATTCTTGCTATCTGGTAGGTGACTCCATTTAAGATAAACGCTTAGTCAAAATTATGGCAATGTTGTATGCCAAGAAATTGCATTTTTTTATTGTAACTTTCCCAGCAACTCACCAAGATCAGCTGATATCTCATATGGGACAACTCTGCTTGGAAGCCACAGAAGGCTTTGATCTTTGCTGCTGCCAAAAGCAAGGCCAGATTTTTCGGAAGTACTCACATCGCCTCCTGTCAGTACCAACAACTTCTGCATAGCTGTGAGACGCATGTCCCCTTGGTACAACCCCGGATCCCTAACTGAAGAAAGAAAAATATACCAGACTTTCACATTTGTAACAGTGGCGACCGTATCAAGGGACTGATGTTAAGCAATTCAAATTTTCAGCTTGTATTTGCAGAGAATTTAATGTTGTAGGATTAATTGAAAGTTTGAATCAAAATAAATAATTGTTTTAAGATCAGCAGAATAAAAGTAGGAAGCATAATATTTAAGGAAGACATTGTTGGAATTCGTTATCGAAAAAACGTCTATTAGGATGTCAGCTTTATCTTAACAATATAAAGCTTTGCAAATAAGATTAATATTGCAGCTGAAGATAATAATATATATACAGCTATACTTGGTGGAACTGCTTCGCGATAACTTTTATCAGTAACTGAGAGACTTAGACTGATAAGATGACACCACATGACGTTACTTGTGATAAAACTGCCTACCATCTTTGGGCCTAACAGCTGCTGCAGTGCAGATGAAAGCCAATGTCAGAATCAAGTGTCGATGCATCTTTCGCTGCTAGCAGATAACTTTCGTTTACCTTTGTCAGCAAGAATAAGCGTATAGGAAAAATAGCGAGTCATATTTGTATTGCCTTTCTGTTTATACAGTTGATTGATAATTGCAATCACATTGAATGTATGTTGACGATCTAATGTTGCTTCAGTTGCTTTGAAAATGCCTGTATTCTTAAGTGTATTTGGGGATACTTAATTGATCTCTAACAATTCTCTCTGAGAAAAAGTTAATTAGTACATATTTATAAAATCTGTGTAAAGTATTTATGGTTTTAGAGACTTGATATTGCAGTTAAATTGTAAGGTGACCCCTTCAGTGCAAATCGAACCATCAAATGAAACGCTTGGTGCACTATGTTGATAATTAATTCCAAAACTTTTAAATAAAGAGTTTTTACCTTATTGTTAGCGTAGCATAGTTTCTTTATGGTGTTGAGCGTAGCATAGTTTCTTTATAGTGTTGTACTTCTCATTGTAAAAAGTGTCATCTAGAGAAGTTTTTTAAGAAATCAGAAAGAGCTATCAATCAAAGAGTTTGCAGTCACAAGACTAAGGTAGCAGCTAAACAAATGCAAAAATAGACAAACAGTAGATTTTCCCATAATATTTCTAAAAACCGTCGATCAATCTCATTAGCTAATTTTTGTCACTCTTGATCATGTATACAATAGACTAAGGTTGCTTGTTAAGTTGTGAGAGAAGTCTGCAGTCTGCATTATATTCAAGGTTCTTTTCTCTGTACTTTCTAAAACAGCATATCCTCATTGCCATCAAAACTAATTGAGATTTTGGACATAGCAGCACCCCTCAACTTTTGTGGTTCCTGTTCATAAGCACTTGAAATGCAGGCCAACCATCCCGGACAGTCCAGTGCAGTACGTTTTGCAATATTTGTGTTCACTATGAAAACTGAAATGACATGACATCTTCTTGAATCACAAAAAAAATCACAAGACTGTTTGGCTTTTGTGAAGAAATCTCGCATCTTGCACGTTCCTGAAAAACATTTTGAACTTTGGACTTTGAGAATACCTTTGGTCAGAAGAAATTTAGGGGCAGAGTTGGACCAATCAGGTGTTTCTTTTTTAAATATTTCTTTTACCTAGCACCTTCAAAAAGCTATTTTAACTAGTTATGCCACGTTTTCTTTTTTGCAACATGGTAAAGGATAATCGTTTGCCTGTTTCACACTTCCTTGATAAATTGGTGCCAATATCGTTTCAATTTATCTAGCATCACTAATTAAAAACATTATGTTTGTTACTTAATTTTATGTTCATTTCATTTTGTAAACCGGGAGCCTATCGGTTTATAAACAGTGCTGAATTCATAAAATCTACCTTCTTTCTGCTATAAAATTTTAAAAAAAAATAAAAAAATGTCAATGTTCCTGGTCCGTTGCCGGGTTGCCATGGAACCGAGGCTGTTCTCAGTGGCATTTCGCCGTTGTGTTGTTACCAGAGGACGCCACGCAGCCCTTTTGGTACAAAATGGCGTTGTTTTCTAGAGTTTTTGAGTTAGGGATTTTCATCTATACTTTCAATTTTTGCTATGCATTCCCTCGAGAAAGAATTGCAAATATATCTCGGGATGATATCAAGCATAAAGAAATGCTTCCTCCTGACCACATCGCTGGCAGTCATATGGAACATGATGGAGACATCAACAAAGATTTTCATCATGAAGCGTTCTTGGGTACGCTTGTGAAAGAAGGGAAGCTAGATTTTAGTAATATGGACGGCTACAGAAAGCTTATCGGTATATTTCACAAAGTTGATAAAAACAAAGACCATCTTCTGGACAAGGTAGAGCTACAGGAATGGATTCACGATCGTATTTTGGAGCATTATTATGCCGCAAAGGCGGACAGCGATTCTGTTTTCAAAAAGGTTGATATTGACAAAGATGATTTAATACGATGGTATGAATACAAAGCAACACTGGTTGATCTCGACCCAAGGAAATTAAGGGATGCTAACGTGTCTTGTAAGTTCTTTTTATATTGATTTTTTTTCTTAATATTTCACTTGATAAGCCGCAACATAAATGGAAAGTAAAAGTGTAAACCCCATGCAAAGTATGACAGCTCCATACATCAGATCATTCCTACACAAAGTCCATAGGTGATACATAAGGTCCAAAAGTGCACCACCTTCGAGACTATAAAAATACCACACTCTTTGAAGGAATGATGCAGAAACCATGGCAGCAAGAATGTTGTGCAGAAAATATGTCAGTTTTTCTTGCTAAAATACAGAAAGAAATTGTCCTAAGCAGTTTATCTGAATTTATTTGAAAATGAGTGAATGTAGCCTTGAATTCTAGCTGCAATAAGTATGTCGATTTATTAAGCAGAATTAAAGCAACATAGCCAAGTCCTCTAGGCTGAATTTTTCAAGCTGAATTCAACCCCCCTAACCTAAAGCGTTTTTGTGAAAACACAAAATAGTCCAGTGGGCAAATTTTCTGTGACTGCTATGCTCCTGTAATACATTCTGTAGGCTGGCTTACTAGGAATATGGAAGCTGCATGTTAATGTAAGGCAGATTGATAGCAGTATTTTCTGAATAATTTCTTAGTGTACTAGACTTTTTGCTTGTTAGGGTATTCCTTGGTTTTCATAGATATTGTTGGAAACTGGTTACTAGATGGTTACTAGATATTGTTGGAAAAATAGCTTCCATTTTCTAATCATGCCCACATCTATAACACATGCATAGGGCTTGTCCTGTCAACAGCGTGCAAGTTCTTGTTAGAAATGTTCATGCTTTTCAGACTGGTAAAAGGCTATGTCTTTGCCTAGTTTCCAATAGATAGACAGTTGGTTCATTGTGGCAGTTTTTCCCTTGTTAGGGTATATTAGACAATTAACAAACTGCTTTGTCAAACTGTTTATAGCTTCTGCCACCCTCAAAGTCAGTATATGGCATTAAGACCGAAAAGCCTAAAAACTGCTACATGTTAACCTCTGTAAACTTAATTTGCGCAAATTTAATTAACTAACTTAGGTATACTTGAGGGCATTGAAAACACAGAACACTTTTTTGCTACTCTGCCACAGTTATGACAAAAAAACAAGATCTTCTTGATAATCTGAATGTGCTATTGCCACCTCACAGCTCAGTACATCTTTCAAATGGAGAACTACTGCAAATCACCCAGTATGGCCAATGAACTGTTCCCTTTTGATTCAAACATGAAAATTCTTAAGGTAGCATTAAAATTTATTCAGGCTTTTGAACAGTTCTAATAAGTTAATGCCAAAACAAGGGTGGGTGCTGCCTCCTTTGGAAGGGTTGTGTGCTGGCTTTGTTTTGTTTTTCCTAAGGCAGGTTGTGGTTTTGCCATTTGTGTGGTCTTTTCTTGGAGATTTGGTGACTAGGCTATATAAGCACCCTCTCCCTCATTTAAAATTTTCCTTTTACGTCTAGCTTTTTTTTGTAGTATTTGTTATGTATTTTTTGCTTGCTTCTCGTATTGTCTTAGGTAATTGTTTGTTACTTTAAATTTTAAGACATTATAAAGCAGAAAAATATAAATATATATTGCAGTATAATGTCAAAAGAAATATCTTTGTATCAATGTGATGATGGAAGCCTTGTAGCAACATAACATTTTCCCCTGTGTTTTATGGAATAAAGTTATTTTGGATCTGCATCTCAGATGATTTTAAACAGTTTAAAGACGATTCTACTTTGGTAATTTTTAAGATTTCTGGCAAGTAGTTTATAGCCCGCTATATCTAGTGAAACTGTCATCTTCTTAGTTCAAAAATGTATTTCTTTCCTACTTGATGGAATAAATCTCTATCTCTCTCTCTTGCAATAAAGTAACACAATTATTTTATCATGTAATGGCCCTACAGATTTTGATTTGGTATCGGTTGACTTGTGATATTATCTCTTTTGCAGTGGAGTCTGACAGAGATGGAGAGTTTGCAAAAGAGGTAGAACATTGGTACAAAGCTGATCTTGATGGGAACAAATACTTGAATTCAACAGAATTTCTTGCTTTCATTCACCCTGAGCACAATAAAAGAACATTAAGGGCAATGGTTGAGGAAATGATGCCAGGTTTTGATAAAAATGGCGACAAGGTTAATGCTTGTTTATTGTTGCACGAATCTCTTTAAACATACTTCTGCAAATTTCAAATCAGTGGTGTTACTCTTACAAGTTATTAAGACGTCAGTACTGTTGGATATTGCAGTTTTTGTATTTCTTTAAGTTCTTTTTTCATCTATAATGGTATCAAAAGCCTAAATTGTTGGGGCGATGAGCCAGCATTATCTGAAGTTTGTTAGCTTTTCACAATCCTGCATCATATGCACAGTTAGAGTCAAAGTCAGTGTTTTCACTTCGCATAATAAACCATATAGTAGAAACGTTTGTCACACTTATGGAAATAAGCCAATCTCAAATAATAAAAAGATGAAGAAAATGTAGAGAAAAGGGAGTCAAGAAAAGATTGAGGATGAAACTAGTCTCTATAATGCAACTATGATATATAATAGTTTTGATTAAATGCTTTAAGCAGCCGTATAATGTAAATTTTGCCTTAGCCCTAATGCGCATACCCATATAATGCATTTTCTCATTGGTTCACACAAATGGATAGAATAATGGCAATAAACAATTAGAATCGTCTCCCCAACAAAAACATATTCTAGATGATCCATTGGCAGCAAAAAATCTGTTTAAGCTTATTTAACTTGAAATGCTTGTGTATTGTACAACTACGAAGTCTTGCTTTTTGGCTTTTATATTTTTCTCTTAATTCTGAAAGGTACTGGTGTAAATCACATAAATATGGCTTTGAAAAAAGCAAACATTTTGAAACATACTAACTCTTTTTGCCTGAACATAAAATTTCAGATTGTATATTGGAAACTATGTTTTGTTCTAACTTCTACTGTGATCTATTTTCTAATGCTCTGACATTTGTACATCGAAGAATGTCAGATAAAAAGCATTAGTATTTTTCAAAATGTTTGCTTTTTTCAAAGCCTTTTTTAACATTTGTACCACCAAAAAAATTTAACAATCACATTTATTATTTCAAGTACATACATAAGCTCTTCTATATGCATTCCTATAAGTGTTGATAACAGTCAGGAATAATGAAAATGTTATTTACAAGCTTAAGTATCACAGTTGAATTTATTTTTCAGAGAATCTCATTTGAAGAGTTTACTGCTCTACCTCCTGGAGAGGTTGACCCAGAAGATGCTGCTTTGGACAGGGAATATGTTGCAGAGTGAGTACTTTTTCATCTCAGTTTCATATTGTTTTAAGTCTTTTCTACATTTCAAGTATAACTTTTCATCAGGTAAAAATGGAGAGCGATTGATGAAATAGGGAGTAGAATTGCATTTAAGAATTGATAGAAAGATTGGATATATGGAACTCAAAAATGAAAAGGCATTGAATGTAAATGAAGTTGAAGAAATGTATACTCAATTATAGTAAAAATGTTGAATTTTTATGTACTAAATCAAGTTTTGAATTAAGTTAAATTATTCACATGAATAGAATTATGACAAAATGCATGATTATTTACCGGTAAATTATAAACCTGCAGAATATTTGCCCAATTTATTCTTTATCTTGTACTTTTCTTGCTGAAACAGGCAGTTTAAGAAATTGATGTCCAATTAAAAACGCTGGTTTGCTAGCCTCCAAGCAGTTATAATTAATAGTGATAATTAATGGTGATAATTAATTGGGACCAAAGCTTTACCAAATTGGCTTTAAATGCATATTCTTGAGTTTCTATATTGTTCTGTTACTTGTGAGCACTCTTTATGTTGAACCCTTTGGTAAAAGGTTATGCAAACACTTTTAATCATTTGGTTTTGAGGTTATTCAAGCTTCAGTTAAGTTTGAAACTCATTATATTATAATAATGAACTTTGCCAATATCTAATTTTAATCTATTTTGTACAATTCATTCTTTTTGTGGTCGTCTGTGTTAGCGTTGGAATTGGTAATATGACAGTAATATGAAATAATTGTTCACAGACGTTCAAGAGAATTCAAAGAAGATATGGATCAGAATGGTGATGGATTTGTAACTATGAGTGAGTTAGAACGATATTTAGATCCAAGACACATACAGCATTCAATAAGGGAAGCCCAATATCTTATAAGAATAGCTGATAAGGATGCTGATTCTAAAATTGGTGAACAAGAAATGCTTACTAACTATGCATTGTTCACGGGCAGTAGCTTGGCGAATAACGCAAGGATACTTCACGATGAGTTCTAAAGCATGGATAGAGTCATTTATTTTAGGGGTGTGTTGTCCATTTTCCGGCAATATGGAAATCTGGGAATTGAGGCTTGCTGTGGTCCAAGCAGTTCCTTAAGCCTTGTTCATTTTTTTGTAATTATCACAGGAATCAGAGACTTCCTTAGATCCTTCCGTATTTTACGCCAAGTGTGAACATGATTTAGAAGGAATCCCCGATAACTTCGAGTTTCTGTCAAATATAAACCAATTCTATTTTAGACATTCTAGCTCATGGTATCCCTTATTTTACGATAATTTCAACTGGTTGCGAATTTCGGATGCCACTAAGGCACGCGAATAGATGATGTATATGGTGTTTATTCATGGTGTCAACCCAGGCTCTTGCGAGAATTACGACAAACGTCAACTAGACATAACTACCAACCCTAAATTAATAACCTTGATATAATTTTTTTTATGATTATTGAATGATAACACGCTAAAAGTTTTTGGGAACCTAAGACTGTGTGACGTAAACACTGCTAGTAGTTTTGCAAACTCATAATAGTTCCATTACCTATCAATCCATATTCCATTTCATATCATCCCATTTTCAAGGTACTTTTAAGTTGCTCAAGATTAACTGAAATGCAGTCCATTATTTTTCGCAAGGATGTGATAGTTTTACTATTGATCACGGCCGAGAGACCTCATATTTTCTCGGGTAATTAGTGTATCAAAGCTTTTGTTTCCCTGTGCCTGCTTACGTTGATCTCTCGGCGTGCGTCGTTTACATCATTTAACTCAAATGTCTCACAGAGGGAGCACAACCAATTGCTTCTCATTGTTGTCTATCTGTATAATTTTACAGTATTTAACGTAAAATAAAATCGTTTTTCGTTGAACGTAAAAGTAAATTGGAGAGTAAAACATTTTTTGGCGGTAGAAAAATCAAAAATGGCTTTGAAAAAAGCAAGCATTTTGACACAAAGTTAAGATTTTCCTCTGAGCTAATTTAGGCCAACTATTTTCAAGACGTATAACCATAAACAACAAGTACACGCTCATTATAAAAACCTTAACCCATCTTTAAAGTTTTACAAATCCTACAGTTGCAATACTTACATTTTGTTGACTTTAGATGCTTTTAAAAAAAATTGCAAAGAGACTCAAGTTTTAATTTCTGGTGGTAATTTCGACCATACTCTTTGGCCCATGAACCTTACTGTATCTGTTCCATATTATATGGCTCTCACTTTTAATAGATTTAAAATGCTCAAGCATCTTAGCTGATATTCTCTCATAAACGGAAGATTGAACTGAATTTTTGTTTGGTTAATTTCAACATTAAGCAACGGTAGGTTCTTCTGATTAAAAGACAAGCGATTTGTCATTTTCTAACATCTCACTTCTCCAAAAAGAGCAATGTTGCCTCTGTACGTATGCAGTTCTGAGGAATCTTTCATGTTATCTATATGTTCCTATCGTGGAGCATCCAAATCAATCCAAATCGATGGACAGTAGCTGAACTGTGACAGTACCAAGAATTCATCACCAGTTTCATCTATGTTTTGACGTTATGTACTTTGGAGAGTGTCAGACGATAAGCTTTGTCTTTTTGTTTCAAAACTTTTGCTTTTTTCAAAGCCATTGTCAAACTCAACAAAATTAAATATTTCTTTGAAAGCAAAACCACTTCTTTTTATCAAAATAGAAGAATGATGCTTCTACTGCACCATGTTAATCGTTATTACCGATCACTCGTTATTTCTGTCGTCGTGCATTTTTTTCAGTTATTGTCAGTGAATTTTGTTGGTGTTTTTATTTTACAACATAACATATATTTATTTTACTTTCATATGATTTGATAACACCTTGAAAAATGAATAATAGAAAGAAAGAACGAGTTGAAGGATTGTTGAGCAAATTTGGGAAGGGTGTAGGTGCACCCATGAGTGGACAGCCTGTCTCCATCCTCCATTTTCTAAGATTGCCCATCCAATTTCCCTGTTGTCTCCCCCTTCCTTTCCTTTCTTGCATTCCTCCTCCCACCACCGCTCTAGCTGTCCTGCCTCCCCTTTACATAATGACCAAAGTACTTAAACTTCTTCTTCACCACCTCCACCACTCCTTGTGGCTCATATCCGCAAATTTCACAGATCATATCTTTTACCCATTCTTTTGTCTTTGTTTCTTTCCATGATATTCCCAACATTCTTCTGTAGGTCTTCATCTCAAATGCTCAAAGCCTTTGCTCATCTTGTTAACTAACTGTCAAACTCTCACAAGAGAATAATAGATTAGCCATCCAGTTGATCTCCTCTGTAGCAGTTTGTTCTTTATTGCTATGTTCTTTGCTCTCGATGTTATCCATCTTTGTCAACGCACTTATCGTTCTTCCAATTCTGATTCTAATTTCTCTGATTTCCCATCGTCTACCATTGTCGATCCTAAGTATGTGAAGTTCTTTATTTGTTCCAGCTTTACTCCATCTACTCTCAAATCACATCCCTCTTACCCTAGGAATAAAACACTGTTGCAGAGATAAGAGATAAATTTTGTTGCTTCTTGGATAATTATTTGGATGTTTTCTTTTAAGCTTTTTCATTAAATTATTGATGTAATAGATGTTAATTTTATTTACATTCTGACGTCAAATTTACCTGTCTGAAATTCTGTTTGTTGTTTTTCATTGTGTCTCTATGTATCAATGTTTCATTCATAAATGCATGTCTGAAGCATTTGAAAATATAAAATCAGCTCCAAATTTTGGAAAGAAAAAAGGGAGAAAGGAAAACGAGATAAACTATAATCTGTCTGCCAGACGCTGTAAATCAAAGATTAAAAGTCAAAGTTCAGTTCACTTCAGTTCAGTTCAGTTCACTTCAGTTCAGTTCAGTTCAGTTCAGTTCAGTTCAGTTCAGTTCAGTTCAGTTCAGTTCAGTTCAGTTCAGTTCAGTTTAGTTTAGTTTAGTTTAGTTTAGTTTAGTTTAGTTTAGTTTAGTTATATGGATTCAGCATAATTGGAGGGGTAATTTAAATCCTGTTCTTTTTATTTAAGTGTTTAGAATGCAAATGTAAAATGCAACGACTAGGCATTTAAATATAAGAATGCTCTTTTTGTATAACCTTAAGCAACTTTGGTGAGAAATTACCCAGCCTCTTTTGTAAATAAGAAAAGACCTTAACTAGTTTGCTTGTGTAGGTCATGAAACCTTGGGAAAATATGACAGTTTTTTACTTGCCAAGAGAAGCTGATTAAAAGTCACAAAGCACTTAGGCAAGTACAAACCGTCGGTTCGAAAGCTTGCTGGTGTAGATGACTTGGCCAATCCATTTGGCAATGCTCTCTCATCCGAAGATCCTTTTTCTCTTAAAAGCTTTGATCACATGTTTCGTGGCTGCCACAAGTCTAAACATAGAAAGGCCCATCGATACTGGGGCTTGTGTCTTTCAGTTCCCCCAAGTTGCTTGCTGGCCTAACCTGCCTGGGGGTAATTGCCTGCCAAATTCAGAGGCTTTAAATTTTTGCTTTATTTCTTATTTATACATTAGCAAGAAAAAAGTTTTCCGTTAACCGAGCCATGTGTCTGAATTTAAGATCTTTGTTCCCGAAGAGAGAACTCGTGGTTTGTGGAAACCGAGGCTTATGTAATCTCCTCTTAGTTTCATCTATGGGAACTATTAATAGAAAACATTTTTAGAATTTTTTTTCAAAATTGCATGAGCGAGAGAACTTTTCAAAGAAATCGATCCAAAAAACTATTTCTGTAGATTGCTCCCTAAATTTTTCAAATTTCAAATAGTTTGATTGATTTTGTAACTGTTAATTTCTCTTCCGTTTTTGTTTTCTACTTCTGTTCTTGTTTTCCAGTAGTGGCCTTAGCACCAAGCCAGGTGTTTTCTGTCCTTTTTGCAAGGCAAAGTCTACCTCATGCAACCCATGCTAAGACACATCGATAAACTTTGCATTTTCACAACATAATACACATGACCTGTGCCAACATAACCCCAGGACTAAGTAACTACTATATCAATCTTACGTAGTACACAAAGAACTTTAACAGCAAGCAGTTATAAAACCTTGAGCCTTAAATGACTTACAATACAACTAATGGATTACAATTGTCATTTTACGAACACCATCTGGCTAGTTTGTAGTTTCTTGGCACTTTTTTGTTCATTTTTGTATAGTCTATTACAAGGGGTTCACCAGGGACAATAGTTATTGATTTACCGAGACAGGCGTAAAATTGCTTCAGGGGTTTAAGTAAAATAGTCCATATTGCAAGAATTTCTTTAGAGTATTGTCCCTCTTTAGACCATAAACGTCGGTTAGAGGGTTTTGATCTTTTCCGTCGGTTATGCAGGAGATTCTTCCAAGTTGGGTTCGTTAAGAAGAATTGCTCGTTTGATTGGCTCTTGTTTGGACCAATCAGAGACCGCTAGCACAGGAATGGAATATCCGTGGTTTTTATCACGCGTTTTATTTCTAAAGAAATTTCCTGTAATTGAATTCTTGTTTGGAAGACACTGCTAATCAGTTCCTGGGTCCTGTTTCAAACCTTTAATCGGTTTCTGAGTCCTGTTTCAGAAAAGCGCAGATTAACATAGATACCGACTGATGCATTTCATCTTAATTTCCATCGATTGACAACTAGCTGTATAAAAAAGGTCTCATATGAAAGATAATTTCGATTGTTATATTTGCGTTTTTTATTTGCAGCTTCTTGGATGAAAGAAGAAATATACAGCTTTTTGCTGTTCTCCCCAAGCATCTCTTTTGCTTGGTAACTCTAGCAGTTGTGGTTGAGCCACCATCTTAAAGATTCTCAGAGGGCCTCGAGCCTCCAAATCCGTGCGCAGTTGGCGCCTATGCCATAAGAATCTGGACTTCTGAAATTACCACTGCCCTTAAACACCAAATAATTTTTGGAATTCCGCTTCTTTGTTGCCCCACACCACCCAACCACCCCCTATCCTTTTTAAAGGGAAATAGACCCCTACTGCACCCTTCTGTGTTTTCAATGTTTAGTTAAAGCATTAGTTTCAACAGTTATGCTCCGGGATTTTCGAAAGTACTAGATCAAACATTGGCTGTGGTCTTTTCTAGCATGCTTGCCTTTACTGAAAAAAGGATACTCCCTAGAACGGCTTGATTCCATTTTTAAAAGGATATTCAATAACTCAATTCCGTTTTTCCTGTGCGTTCTGTTGACGTTCAGTTCAGCACGAGTTATTGTGGTTTCATGCACACAATTCGGTGAGCACTGCATGATAGAAGCGAATTTTGGTTCCTGAGATAATGACCGACACAAAGCAAGTAGCGTGGTATTGAAAAAGGAAAAAGAATGAGAAATCTAATTGGTAAACAACACTAGCTTACGGCAAGTTTATTATTTCCTTTTTTCAAATTTATTTTAAACCCTAGAAATATGTTTTAAATAACGCCTGGCTGCCTGCTTGCTATTTTTAGATGTTTCCAATCAAATTTCTCTATTGTATAGATTGTGTCGAAACCCGGCAAATTGATCTGGATCAGTCTTTCAATAACTAATTCAATTCGCTATTCTTTGTTTCCAAATTAAGGAGAATTTCAAGGTGTCAGTCACATGGAGACTGTGCGATTTAGCAGCACGGAGGGTGTATCCCTCTTTCTTCAATAAAGCTATCATCTTCAAATGTCGTTATTGAACCCCTTTTATCAGGTTCTCTGGAAAGTACAATTAAAAGACGCCTCATGCTGTTGCCCCATTTATGGCTGCAATTAGGCCCAGCCCTTTCAATAGAAACACTCATCTTGCAGCGGCTTTAGTGACAAGAAGTTTAATCTATGAAGAAAATAGATTATCCAAACAGCGCAATGTGATTTTGCAACGTCTGTGAAAAATTCCCAAGTACGGAATTATTTCGCAACCCTTTTCTATACCCAACGGTAAGAATTTTAAAAGCTCTTGGAACTTTGTGATTTAAAACCATCTTAAATTTTGTTAAAGGCATACGCCAATCTACACTCATTTTTTTATAAGAAACTGGCGATAAGAAACGAGTACTGGACAGTCAGAAAAAATTAAGAAACTTCAGTACTCGAAGAAAAAAATTAAGAAACTATTAAATCGTGATAAAACTGAAAACAACGAAATCTTGTGAAATCCAAGAACAAGATTGCCCTTTTGGCCTAGAACTTAAGACGCAAGTGATAAAAATATACTTCCCACATCTAAATACAGCATTGGAACTGAAACGAATCTCTTGACGTGATAAAAAAGGTCACAAACATTTCATAACATCATTCATGACATCATAATTAAGAAACTCTTAGGAAACAGTGAGTATTGAAATTTCCAGAACATTAAGAAACTGGAGTACTCAACATCGACCTTTGTTTCTTATTAAAAAATGAGTGTATATAATGATATGATAAAAATAATAATGCAGTTCATTATACAGGGTTGCCTTTTCAGCAAGAAATGTGCTGTTGTCAGTATGGGCCTTGAACCAAGGACGAAAAAGAGGAAAGAGGAAGAGATCTGGGCCTCGCCCTCTAGAAACACCCTCTTTTGGATGCATCTTACAATTTCAGAAAAATTAATTCGAGGGTATAGCTTTTAAAATCCAACGTGAATTCAGTAAAATGTTAGATTTAGTAAACAGTGATAGTCTTGCTGAATACAGACAGTTAATGAAGAGACAATAATTTTCTTTAGTTCTAAAAATACGAGCTGATAAAATTTGAGCCAATAGATCGTTAGGAAGTTCTTAAGACTGACTTGCTGTTACCTATGTTTCACTAAGTAATAATTCCTAATTTCTTTCCTTGAATAGTTTCACATAATTTCTTACACTTCCTTGACAACTAGAGACATCCTAAAGCTCTCTTACCCCCTTCCCCCTCCCCCTTGAGAGCCGATAATCACAGGCCCCGACAACCATTAGCCATCGCAAATAAATTCCGAATCATCCAAAAAGGCATCAAGATAATATTCGACGCAGCAGGTTGCATACCGAATGTCTGCCTGTCTCAGAATATCTCCTAAATGGAATAAAACAATTAAACAAAAATAGGTTGGATAGCCTTTGCTAAACTTAATGCGGATAAAACGGATAAGCCATCTCTTAAAGATTAATCATGAATACCTTTGAACTAGATTACAATTAATCGCAGTACCTGACGGTAAAAGGAATTGTTTTGATCTTTTAACGAGATTATTTTGCTATATCAACTCACAACTCAGTGGGTTTCTAACATTCTATCTACCATGCGCTGAATACAAAGAAGACCACTTTTACGCACTCGTCTGACGACAGCGTAAATCTACGTCATTAGAGCCCAGGTCTCTATGCCTTTACCATCGATCTAATTATACATCCTTTGAATTATGGGACTCTCTTTGACGTTGGTCCTGGTAGGGGTCATGGACGGGCACATAATTCAACCAAAGTTTCCTTATCAAATTCTTACACAAGGCAGTTAAATTTACATTGTTCATAGCAGTTAGCATTTATTGCAAATTTTCTCACAAATTTTGTTTGATAGATGCAGAAACTTGGATATTTGAACTCTTTGTGTTGTGTCGGACTTTTCATTTTCTAAAGGAAAGCGTGAATCATTTTAAAAAGAAAGCAGTTAGTCGATAAGAATCGAAAAACTCAATATCTCAGCAAATCCTCAGGAGGACAAGGAAGGGCCAAATTGTTCGTTCGCAAGATATTTACGTTCTACAAATCATCTGATCCGTGCCATCGTGTGATTTGCAACAGATTACTTCTTTCTGTTTTTTATCATTGTTAACTTTAGCCTAGTTAATTTTATGGATGTATTTGAAGCGTTTTACATTTCACAATCTGGTCTTCTCTCACCTTTCCCGCTTTCCACCGTTGTCTTTTCGAATAGCTTGGTTCTGCCGAGTTCAACAAGGTCTACAATGTGCTCCGTCTCTAACGGAAATCCATACACTACCTTTTTAGGCCGTACTATTTCAGATATGCATTCCTCCATCCCTCCATCGGCGCCTTGAACTGCCTTTTTTCCCTCTTCCATTGGCCCCCATCTCTTCACTCTCTATATATAGGCTTAAATCGACTCAGAAGCACTCTGATTAATGCATTAATGTAAGCAAAAGTTCTTAGTAAAGCTTTTAGTTCTTAGTAAGGTTTCGGATCTGATTTTAAGGCGAGACTAAAAGTAAAGTTGCTAGTGTCCACTAACTATACCAGTTGTGGAAAATTATGGAAAATTACCGCTGTCTTAGTTTTCTTTGTATATTGTGATTTTCACGTAATCAAATAAATACTTAAGTTTTGATTGATCTCCTGAATATCTAACAAATCATTCATTCGCTGGCTTTAACTCCTTACTAAGAAATCGTGTCTCAAAAGTTCAACACTATTTATAAGTTTGCATTAAACTGATAGTAATTGCAAGTTTCGGGGCCAAGGAGTGGAGCCATGGTAGCTTTTGCAATGAGCTTGTTTTGTCTAAGCTTATAGGCCATAATTCCATGTTCAATTTAGGGTTCATTCAAAGGCTCTGCAATTCATTCATCACTACAATTCAGCGACCCTACACTTGATAAGAAAATCTATAATCTTATATATTTATTAAGTGATATTATTCAATATATATTATTAAAACAATTATGTAAGTTATACTCGCACTATCGGTGGGTTGTCGTCGTTGTGTGGTCTTTATCCTATTCTGTTAGACTTACCAACTTCATTTTTACTTCACCAGCGAGCAAGCCTTACAATGCTTGAGAATAACTGTCTTTAAAAAGGACAGAGAGGTTTTGCGAGCAGTATTGGAAGCACATACCTAAAGTTTTTATTGAATAGGGTCTCATGGCTTACCCAAAAAAGCCTGTCTTCTTCGAATTTCAAACCTTGTTTCAGGTTATCGTATACATTTTCGAAATTTCAAACCCTTATTGGCTCCCCTTGTCTCACACCATTGGTTAGAAGACCTTCCTGTGTGCGAGTTCTGTGCTTTTTGGGAACTTATTTCAGATTTCTGGAAAATCTGATAAGGTAAAGGTTTTGTATTGGGCGGTCCCAGGAAACCAAGATAGCTTTACTCCAAAATTCTAAATGTAGAAATACGCCATTACACCAAATAAATCGAACCAGGCTCGGTCCAACATCAGACTCTGGTCTTGAGGACAATATGTCTCCTGCAAGGAGCGAGATACCAGGAGGCTGGGGGGCCTTGGCCCCCCAAAAAACTTACGTTGCATAAGTAAAATACTTTTATTTTGTAAAATATGGCTGTTGTTACATTGATTTACCATGGCTGCCGCCCCCACCTCCCCCCCCCCAAGTAAAAAGTTTTATCTCGGTCTTTGGCCTCCTGCGTTACGTAAACGGCTTTGACTAGCAAGATCAGTTTGATTTGGCCATCAAGAAGACAAATGCAAATGATTTATCGATTAACACACGTTTGCTGTTCTGTTCCTTTGTAACCAATTGGGTCTAACTATCACCTTGATAATCTTCCGGGAAGGGTTTTGGAAGAGAATGATCCTCCGGTCCTTCTCTTTGAATTTTATGAAATCTTGTTTATTGGAGAGATATATTTATTTGCGAGAATGGTCATCCCTGCCCTACTCACAGAATTTTGTTTTCCCCATTGGAATAGAAATTGAATTGGAAGTGGAAATGAAAATAGATTGCCGATCTTTGGAATGATTTAAGCAAAGATTTAGCCATCACAGAATCTGTTGCAATTTCTCACGTATGTACTGGGAAGGGGAACTCTTCCTTCCTTATGACGAAATATTGGTAAACACTTTACGTCACACCAGCGCCCCCCGCTCGATTGAGCAACCCAGTGAACAGCTAACTACGGACTGATAAAGGGATATGGAATGCACGGAATGGAGTTACGGAGCTGTGTCATGTCATCTAAGATTCTAGCCTGAGATCAGGCTCTCGGGGTGGAGGAGGCAGGCTACCAAGATTCAAGCTCTTCAAATTATGTTTTCTTCTTTTTGGCAAATCTAGATCTTCGTTTTCAGATTCCCTTTGATAAAATTGGATGGAATTACTAAAGTCAAACCCATGTTAGTGCTGCCGGATTAAGTAATAGAGATTGGACATGTAAAGACAATTATGTTCTACAGGCATGAAATCAAGCAGCTCACAAATATTTGCTCTTTATCAATCTACGCGAAATAACTTTGCCCTTATCCCCTAGCATATTGAACACTTCAGCTCCAAGTCCTTAAAATATGTCCTTAAATTCCAAGATCCCTGTGTTGAAAAGGTATTCTAACTACAGTAAAAGTTAAAAATGTCCAAGACAACCACGATCGTTAAAATTTTGATTGAATAGTTATTGTTGATATATAAGAATTCAATTGAATTGTCGGACAAGGATTCTGTTATGGAGGATGAATCCTCCAGCCCCATCACCCTTTATCTTTATATCGGATACCGTCAAACGAATGTTATTTCCCTTTTCAAGCTATTAGAGCCTAGTAACCGCTCTGTTAACCCAGTAAGTAGTTCCTTCTATTTTTGCAGCATTGCAGATTTTCCCCAATAAAAATTAACAACGATATCCAGGGCCTCCGACGAAGGGGGGCCCTCCCCTTCCACTTTTTTGCAAAACAATAGAGCTTTATAAAAATTATCCCTTGCTCCCCTCCCCCATTTTCCAACTTGCGTCGGAGCGCATGATATCTCAAGAAAGTTGGAGCTTTCTTAATCATTGCCCACGTTCCTGGGTTCTCTGTCCTATTCTCGGCGCATTGGTCCTTTCTCGTATTATTGTCGATTTTCGCAATATTAAGACAGATGTGAACAAGCTATTTGATAAACAATCCCTTTTCAAGGTTTTAATGGCAAAATGTGTTGTTTTTATTGAATTTCTAACTGTCGAAGCTTTAGAAATTTTTTTGAAATTCTGAAAGCCTCGATTACGTTAGGCACTCTTTGAAGTTATGGTGTTGTTTTGCTAGAAAAATTAGCTTCTTTTAGATGGATTGTCACATTTCAATCTTTTCACGCGGTCTGGTAAAATCTTTCAGTGGTGATAATTAGGCTCAGTTTACTTCAGAACTGGCGGCCCATTACAATGCTTCCTGTTCCATGATTTAACAAACGATGATTGTTACGGTCGGTGTTGCTTTTGAACTGGCTGCCAGAACGTTTAATTCCTGTTCCATGTTTTAGCAGACTCGCGAATGTAAGGGCGATATACGCATACATTTCTTATTGAAATTGCTCATCTTTTGTCATTGCGAAGACAAACGTCTAGTTGGTCATTTTTCATACAAAAGCGAATTACGTGCATATCTTTTCAACTTGTTATGAATTGAACTTAGAGAGAGGATCTCAGTTTTTGACCCAGAAAATTTCAAGAGAGATTTGTGGATACTGGACTTTTAAAAGTGTCGAATGATAATTGTATTAAGATAAGAAATCTCATATCTTATTATTCTTTTCTTGTCCGTTGGTAAAATCAAAGGAAGTGGAGGTCATATTGGAGAGAGGATCGAGAAATAAGCAGCCACGGGTAAGTTTCAAACAAATCTTTAGCTGTTCTCCTTATGAGTTTTTTAGAGTGTGACATTCTATCAGTAAAGATTGTGCATTTGTACTTATCGCAATATAGAAAGCATGTATGATGTTTGATGGAGATAAATGACATCATCAATAATAATTTGTTTGGTGTGTACTATTCTGGCTGGAGCCTTATCAAATCACAATCAATCAACCGTCTTTTCTAGAAAGGCTTTTATTACAAATAATTATTTTGAATTTTTTTTCTTTGGTCGTCTCTGTCTTGTGGCGTTAAATATCGATTGCATTCCTCGATATCAAATAACATTTCCCTAATAAAATCAGTTAGTTTGCTATTTTCGGTTCCTCCCAACATCCTAGGCAACGTTATTGTTAAAATTCTAATTATTGTTAAATTGTTAGTTATCTTTATCGACCCTTTATCGACTTTAAATATTGTAAAATGATTGCTGGATATTAAATGAATTTGAATTTGAATTGGTTTACTTGGCACGAAGAGAAACCTATTCTTGTTTGTGTTTCCGTGTTAATGGACAGTCCCAATTGTTTAAGACATCTATATTCGATTAAAGTGGAAAACAACTACTTGTCTATTATCTCTAGTCAGATCCCGTACACCTACGTGCGTGCTTTTCGTAGAAGAAGTGTGTATCAATACAAAGTGAAACCTGTAAAAGTACGATCCCTTTTAATCTTCAAAATTCTTCTTTGGTTTAAAACAATGTTTTCAGCACTTTAAGCGTTTCAGACACTTTTATCAGATTGCTGGACCCGTCTGTAGATAATCATAGCTTTAATGCTTAAAAGATTTTAAAGAAATGACGGTTGATGAAATTAGCAGAATCTTTAATCAGAAATTAATCATTTCTGCCGAGAATTGGCTTCAAATAAGTCAAAATGCATATAGATACATCAGAATTCAAGATTTATAACCCACAAATTGATGAACTTTGGCCTAACACTTTGCTTGATGTTGTTTTGTGCTGAAATGAAGAATAGTTCTCATTTCAAGGGCTGAATCTCAGCTGAATGCCTCAACTTCACTTTCTTGAAAATAATACACAAGAATACCTTTACCTTCTTGCAAGAACTTCACTGATTTATTTTCAATAACTGTGCTTAGAAATTCAGCCACTGGACACAACAAAAGCTCGTTTCAGAACATGGCGTGCTCAACCCTTGATTATAAATTGGATTTAGATTGGATTTAGTTGTTTATCCTCAGCACGGATACTGTTGTTGAAGGCCAAAGTATGCCTTTTGAGCGCAACGTTTGGGTTGAAGAAATGTTATAGCATGTTCAGATGGAAAGGCTTTGTGTGATGTGCGAGTGGCATGGCTTTAAACAAGGATTTGATAACGTTGCTCAGTCTCGCTGGATGTTTGTTTGAGTCCTGCTCTGGTCGCTCGCTTACATTTTCTCTCAGTCAATGTTTTCTGTGAACCTTTCCTCCTAAACAAACATCCCCTTCAAAAACCCCCAATGTTGCTAGCATCTTGCAGTCAAAATGAAATCTCTTCTGAAAATGAAATCAAACTTCACAGAATTTTGAACACAGTCAATGCCGTGTTTTATTGTCATCTACGTTAACTGGATTTGGCTCACTCACCGTTCTTTTATATGCTCTTTAGGCCCTTTAGACATACCGAACAAGGGAAACGGCCAACACTTTCACTTAGCTGTTTCATACAAGTATCTACATAGAAACGAAGTTTGATTTCTAAAATCCCTGCTCAATAATTTTGTCAATATTACGATATTTTAGCGTGCAATAAAGAACCTTTTGATTATAGGTCGATGGCAATCAGCAAGCTAGACTCTTTTACCAAATTTTTTCTTTTTTCTCTGCTCTAACACAATAAATTTCATTTTTATGCTCATCGATATCCATATCAACATTAAATACTTTATCAGCATTGTAGGAAATCAAGTATTTCATTGTTTGATTCATAAAGATTAAAAAACAAGAGATAGAAGCAAATTGTTTTGATTTCCGAAGAACTTCTCAAAGGAGGCAATAAATATTCTAGAAGCACATGAGAAATTATTTTTCATTTTCGAAAATCAGAGTTAACCCCAAAACTTCATGTGTAATCTATGTTAACAAACAGAAAATCACTAAATATTGATAGCTACACCGTAACTTTGTAAAGCTACATCGTATCTTCCTATTGCTTGGTCTCAGTTACTTTAAGTAACCTCATAGATCCTTATAGCTAGTAAGTGCTACGTTCATATGTCGCTTCCTAGCATGGTTTTTTAACATATCAACCAAGGGGCAATTGCCCCTCGAGCCCTAGTGACCTTCCATTGTTTAAAAGAAAAGGTTATTGCCCCCCTCTTTATTTAAACAAAGGTTTGTCCACAGCTTACTTCCCTTCGAAAGGCTATGCTTCCCACGTCACAAATTTCGCAACTAGAACTTTGTTATTTGCATTTTTGTTGCCTGGCAAGTTGATCAGCCATAGTACTAATCCAGGAAATGACACTATAAGTATCTAACATAACAGAAAAGGAGGTATTTCTCATTTACCAATCCCTCATCGCTACCATGATTGGTCCAATCTGTAAAATGCATTTCTTTTCAAAGCATGCCTATCATTGCATGTACAAGATTCCTATTTTACGTAGCCATTCAACCATAGCTTTCGTAGTAGACCGTATTCTTTACCATTAATCAGATTATTTTGCCAATCTGTGCATTCTGCCTCTGCTTTGGTTTCAAATGCAGCAAGCTAAAAACACAGAATCTCCATTCTCTGCTAAGATTACAGAAGGCCACGATTTTGTTTTTCATCATATTCATGAAAGCTGTCAGTTTTCTGCCTTGTAAGCCATACATCTTTATATTCTTAAATATTTCTTATGTTTTTGTTTGACTTTTAAACGATTTATTACGTCAATCGATATAGCTGTTAATTGCTGACTCATGGTAGGCCAACTGATTAGAGGGGTAGGCTATGAGATATTTGTCGTAACGGTAAAAAGAAATTAAGATTTCAATGTTATTAACATCAAAACTTGTACTTTGATTGGGCAATTGTTGATTTGTTCTCAGCCTATTTATACCAGTCGCATTCTTGTACCCAAAGCCAAGGGTTTTCAATTACGTATTACCGTTTGTAATGCAGCCTAATTCTTGTCCAAGAGTTGGACATTTGTGACGCAGGCAATTTCGACTTTTATGTAATATAAATGTCAGCTTTCGTTAGCAATTTTCAACAGAATTTTTTTCCCAGTGGTTTTTCCAACTAACAAAGAAACATGGCCAAATAAATTAGAAATCATAGAGAAACTTTCAGTTTTCATATCGACTTTGATTCATATGATAAATTTGTATCATATACCATTCTATTTCTATTCTATTTCTAGTTATTATTTTTCAGCTTCCCATAACTCTGCAACAGCTATAACTGCTACGACCATGATTTGACTTCTGCCATGCCATGAAATTGTTTTTCTTTAATTGCATCGATTCGAAAAGCAAGTAATCACGAGAATAACTTGGTAATTTTAAACCAGGAACTTTTTTGAGCAATAGGATTTTTAGTGATTGTTTTGCGGTGTTTTGAGGGGGTTTTCCTCCGTAAAAAGATTTATGCAAAAATATTCGAGATTCGTGGAGCGATATATGCAATAGTTGATTTGCCACAACTTGCTAAGGTTACAATACGTTACAAGCCGAATTTTAATTGTCTTCATGCATGCATTGCAATTTCAGGTCCTGCAAAGAGGTACTCAACATTTCCACGCACGATGGAGTACCATCAGAAGCTCTCAGTTGAGGCTTATGCAAACGATCACGTCATCCATCAGAACGCATGCGCTGATCGTAAGCTGCAGAAGCAGCTTGACCACCTAGAGAAAATGCAAAAGAGGCAACGGAAAAAGTTTGAGCAGGAAGAACATTACTTCCAAGCCCTGCATAGGGTCGTCCCCTCAATGCATCCAGGAGATGATTTACACACGCAAACGAGAGGCCAAGGTCGAGGAACGAGGCATGTTTTGAGTAAGAGGCTGACGTATCCAACGACGAGCCCTCACAGTTTTGTTGTACCCGCATTGTCTTGCAGCGATGGTTTGGATAATCATTGCACTCCCAATGCTCGCAGGGATATTCTGAACCTTAAAGGTATTGCAAGTAACGCGCCACATGGTAATCAAACCAGTAAATCATCTGAATTAGTTGAATCAAAGTCAGTCTTTGAACGAAATCATTCAGTCGTTACTCATCAAAAATATCCCAGAGAAAATGAGCCAGTGCTAGACAAACCAGAGGTACATCACGAAAATATCACAACACGCAGAACGGCATGGCTGAGGTCATTCGAAGGTGATCAGAGATTCCTAATCAAAGGTACTGAATCTCATCTAAGTGAGCGAGGCCCAATCACACCGCGCCATTCAACGGATAGCCGTGCCTTGAGCAGCAACGCTAAATGCAGCCAGTTTGTCAAAGATAACAGGAAATATCTAAAGGATGTTATCATAGAGTCAGCATCAAGCACCTCGGCCTCGACGGAGGAGAACAACGAAGAGCAAAAAGGTAGATCAGAAAGAAAGATCAACTCTGCCAATTCTGATCAAAGCGAATGGGACTCAACAAGCGATGTGGAAGAGAGGCTGCCAAACATAGCTGGTGAAAAGGTCGGCCTACGGGTTTGGACAGCGGAGAAGCCTTCATTTGAAATGCGGATGCTATACCAGATGAAAAACGGTCATTTAGAAGTTCCTAAAGTTGACACTGAGAAAAATACAAAATTTCAGTTTGCGTCGGGGGACGAAGTGACGAGGATTGAGAAACTTTCGCTTGGAAAAGGAACACTGAGAAAGGCTTCTAGTCTTGAGCATCGTTACCCATCTCCCCAACAAGCATCAATCCACGAGCATAGTGACCTGCCATTAGTTAATGGTACACACATGACATTAGTGAAATTCTTGCCTAAAAGCAAACAGGCTCTTTATTTGAAATATGGATCTGATTCCGTCGGGGGTCTTTCTAACAGCTGACATGCAGGAGAAACCAATCGATTTTAGAAAATTAGATTTTGATTTCAATCTTAACTAGAGTTTATTGGTAAGCTTTCCCGCGATGCTTTCCCAATCTTGTATTTAAACCTGATTCGTCTTGTTCGATAACTGTCCTTATGAAATGAAGAATTTTATGAGTTGACAATTTTCAAATAATGAATCAAACACCTTGACCAAATGACAGCCTTTCCAAAAATTGCAATTATCTTTAAGAAGAAAACAAAATCTATAAGATTACGTTGCCAGATAACTCTAAAAGCTGCACCCCTAAGTCTATTGTTTATCCCTTTAAAAACCATCTCTTTCTATCCTTCATTTTATCTAGGCCCAAACGAAGTTGTCTTCTTTTGATGGCTTGACTCTAGGTATGGTATTTGAAGATATTCTTAAGCCTAAACAGACCAACACTTTGACAATTAGGCTCATGGAAATCGACTTCATTACTTTGTTCCATATTTTACATCGTTTGTTAATGACGTCATATTTATAGGTAGATATTTCTTTTATGGAATTAATGGTAATTTAATCGTAGTTAGATTAACTTCTGTTCTTTCTTGTGAAAGTAGATTTGTACAGCATTATTTCTTTTCCCCGCTTTCTTAATTAAAGAATTTAAACATATAGAACCAACAAGAACCAACATAGTAAGGGAGTGCCTAAAAACGGGTAATTGGATGTAATTAACCAATCAAAGGAAAGTGATTTGGCGCTCAGGCCAACGATTTTTCGTCAAGGAAACATCTTTGAAGGGTTTTCGGAAAAGTCTATTACCAGTCAATAACCCGAATTTTTCGTTGAAAACACTGATAGGGATGGGGGGGGCTAAGCTCACTCCTCTGCCCTCATAATTTCCGCCACTGGCTCAATCTGCATTTACCATTGAACACTGCATTGTAACAGGGGCTGTGCTTACCTCAAAAATTCTAACATAGAGTAGCAAGAGCTTTGAAAGCATTTTATAGCCTTTATGTAGCGTTATTGAGAGTAGTCAACATTTGGTTATAATATAATGTGGACGGCCTTTATTCTTGTCCCCAAAGTATCTCGCTAACCAGAGCTTTGTTATTGTTGTTCAAGGGTAATTGATTTCACTCTTGAACTCACGTAGAATATTTGTAAATTTTTAATTCACGTATTTAATACCTATATTTTGATATCGAATAAAAACAGAGCAGTTTGAAATCTTCTTGAATTGTATTTTCAGTTTTTAAAACGTAGATAAGAGATTTAACATTTTTGACTAACTTTGATTTTTTGAGCGATCGTATCCCTGACCTTCTGTTGATGAATTACAGCATGTAGCATGACATCTTAAAAAGAGCATTCTAGTATTAGTATAACAATTTCATTGCTGATTAACACTGACATGACGCAACATCACAGATTGTATAAAAACGTCAGTTGCTGCACAAAATGAGTAGACACGTTTATCTGTAAGAAACCATGTCGATGTTTTGGGCTGATTTATGTTTCAGGCTGATTTTATTTGAGGGAATTTAGCATTCTAAATCACCCCCCCCCCCTTTCTTGGAAACTTAACAATCTGATCTAATTATTGCTTACTCGGATCATTTAAATCTCGAAATGGATTCCTATTCTTAGATTTTGGCTTAGCATCTTTGATGCAAAATCTTCTTCGTAAAAAGTGGATTTAGAGTCCCTATGGGCTAGGTTACTTCAAGATTGAGCTTGGACGGTAGATTTTATTAGATGAGTGAGAAATTTTTTACGGCGATGTGAAGTCATGCTAATCGCAAAGCTCTTTCGCTAATTTTTATTGGCATTATTACTTTTTATATCCATATATGTGAGCAATAATTTAAATGTAAAAGAAAGAAGGGGGTTTATGAAAAGGTAATGTGTTTAAAATTATATAAACTATATAAACAATCATATCATATCAATTTATAACTTTAAAAAAGAACCATTCTATAAATCACCCTAGAGAGTTTCGTGTACGGAGGTGTTTTATTCAGAAAAATGAGGCCTGAGTTTTCATAACACAATATCTTAAAAGGCAGGACTTCACTGTATTGATCCGATTTTTAGAAGCAATGAAGACAAAAAAATCCGAAGGAACTCCCATTTAGGTGCACTACCATAAATACGAGTTGCACCACCAAAAAATGAATTTTACTTTTCTTTGGGTGATAAATTTAACTATTTGCTCTTTCGATAACACTTTAGCATGCATACATGATAAACGATGTTCTTAAAGTCTATCGTTTAGAAATTCTTAATTCTTGGCTTACTTTCATATTTAAAGAAAGGCAAGTTTTACTGCATATTTTTAAATCTTTTGGAATAGTTATTTTTCGGTTAATTACTTATGAATCATATTTGATTAGACAACGACTTATTGCCAAAAAGAGCCATTCTATAAATCAGAGAGACAGATGGAGGAGCTAGAGGCCAAGGCCAACAAGCGGTGGACACTTAGGAGGAGCGTACACAGGGGACAACAAAGTGAGTTTATAAAAAAGGGAGGGAATGCGAGGATGAAACGCAGCTTTTTAACATGGCCTATTTGGAGATGTTTCAAGAAGAATTCATCCACTTAGTATTGTTTAAGAAAGTTTCAGTGCAGCAGTGAGTGTTCATGCAATGACAACATCCAACTTTTTTCCGAAGACACTTCGTAATAACTTGTAAGTACCACCAACTTGATTACGCTTCAAAACAAAGGTCGACGTTGAGTACTCCCAGATTCTTAATAAGGATTTAGGAAATTTCAATGCTCATTGCTTCTTAAGAGCTTCTCGACAATGATGTTATAAATTTAACCTTCAGCCTCAGATATTTACATGCTAGGAAATTTTGCAAACAGAAACTTGTAAGGAAGCATTTTTAGCTGCCAACATTCGAAGTTTGTTTTCAAATACTCATAAGTCATGACATTTATGTCAAGAGATTCGCTTCCGTTCTAATGATGTTCTTAACGAAGGTCAGGCATATTTTAATTCTCTGTGTCTAATTTTTCATGTCAACCAGCCAATTTTATTGGTGTGTTCCATGAAATACCTGATTTGTTGCTTTTTTCAAAATCCAGTTGTTTCCTAACTTGTTTGCTTTGAATACTGGGGTTTCTTGATTTTTCCGATTGCCCATTACGCTTGTCTTTTCGGTCATAGACCACTAACTGGTTTTTTAAAGGTATTTAATTTGGTATACTACAGAGGCGGCGCCACGAAATTGAACCTCGGAGGGCTAAGAATCAAGTTTAGTGGTATAGGAGGACCCACCATGGTAGGGTCCGAGGCGAAAAAAAATTTTGAAATCAATCCTTCTAGAATGGCTAAAAATGCATCTCCAGGAGTAAAATTTAACAAAATACCATGCCGCTCAGAATAGACAGCTCGACGATTCCCAGAAAAACATTGATTTTTGATTTTTAGAAAAAGTCTAGGAGGGGAGGAGTTATGGAGGTTTCAGGTAAAATTGCTGTGTTTTGTATATGAGTCTGTTCATAAAACCTCCCCTATTTGCTTTCATAATTTCTTTTAATCTTCAAAATCTGTTCATCAATATGGTACAAGACAGGCTGGCAAGGGTGACAACTTTCTAACTAGGAAAAACACCAGTCAACATGGTCTCAGATCAGTACGTTACTATGGAGCAAAATGGTGGAATGACATTCCTGTAGAAATAAAAAGGTCGCCATCAGTCAGGATGTTTCGTCAGAAACTAGAAACTTTCCTGTTTGAGCATAACTATTGAGTCAGATTATTGATAGTCAATATTTACCCATAGTATCTTACAATTTATCTGAAAAGAGGGGGTGCTCTCTCCTCAATTAGCTTAGCTATTGAGAGAGTTCCTTTTTAAGAATTCCCCTTCATGCAAATCCTCTGGTATCATGTATCTTTATCCCTTTATGTGTGTTATTGTCTTATTAATTTATATGTAGTTATTTATTATTGTAAGTTTTTGATTTAGAGAGTGTTTGTATATAGTGGAATTTAAAAATGAACGAAATGAACTGAACTGATGCTAAAACTCTGGTAACAGACGTTGGGGAACGGAAGAAAGGGTGACCATTGTTTCAAAGTGCACATTTCAATAATGTTGAATTGACTGAGAGAATTTTACTTCCTAAACACCCGTATATGCATCTCCTTTTTCTCGACTATTTTCAGTAGGCCATGATTACACATCAAAAATGACGTTGCAATGATAGAGAGTTATCTACTGATGCAAATAAAAGACAAAAAATAGAAATATACCCCAATAAGTTAGTAAATAGATAAAATAAAATCAAGAAGTATATAAACACTTTGTTCTCTTTTTATTTCTTAGTCTGTTTTGAAAAATAATAGAAAGAACGGTAAAACATTTAGATTTCTGATAAAGTGGGGGGGAGGGGGGCTTCAGTCGTGCCTGTATCATTTCACAAACCATAGTTGTTCCGCGCGTCGATTATTGTATTGTGAGCATAAAACATATATGGTGATATTTGAGTATGTTTTTGTACGAAACGTTGTGAAAAATTTCGAAATAGATCTTGCCGAAGTTGTCTTCATACCTCGTCATCAGTCAAACAAGTTGTTCTCCAAAGGGCCAGAGACTCAATATTCATGATAGATTTTCTGACAATGATGTGGCAAAAAGCGGATAAGTATTTCGTAAATTAAAAGCACTTCTAAAAATGCCTTGTCTAAATAAGGCCTGTCATGCATATTTTATCTCTAATCCTTTCAAGGAATGTTACCCCTTCAACAGAAGCCTGTTTCAAGAGGCCCCTTGTTAAAAACATTAACTGCAATCTTACAAAGCTATTATAAAGCTATTGGCTAAAATAAACTATGAAGCATTATTGACATTATTATTATTATTATTATAATTATTATTATTCTCGCTACATCTATCTTGGTTTATCAAAGGTCATAATTCGATGCACCTACTTTATATTTTACGTTTATATTTATATACGTAGAAACAAACCTTGGCCTAACCCAGAGCTTCTTTCCATCTAGTATTCTATCTCCACCCACCTATACCGCCACCATCACTACAATCAATATTGCCATCATCAACATCGTCGCTACTTTTGTCATCCTCATAAGCATTGTCAACATCGTCACCATCATTACATCATCATGCTTATATTTAAGCTGTGTGCAACCGTCTTTTTCTTGTTTTCTTTTCCTTTGCACTTGTAATAGTTTTTTTTCAATGTAAGAGTGCCAGCTACAAACTGCCTTGTAATAGTGAGGTTTGTAAGTGTTATGTTTTTCAAAATGAAATAGCAACTGGTTTAAAAAGACATGCTCAAAGACCCAGGCTTTAACGAAACTATACAGCGCCGGCTTCTATCAAAAGTCATAAACATAGCAATACGCTGTACTTATTACGTATTCTGTAGAAGAAATAAACCTTGGCCTAATCCCGATTTAATGGACTTCTAAAGTGTTCTCATTGTAATGTTTAATCTAATTTTCATTTTTAAGTTTCATCTTGTTATTCGAAAGATAAGTCGCCAATTGTACACTGCCTTATAAAACTGAGGTGTAGAATTATATGTATTTAATGATATATTGAATGAAAAGAGATTAAATTATTATTATTATTTTTATTATTATTATTATTTTTATTGACATAGCCTATGCATAAGAGTATCAAAACCCTTAAAACGGAACGAGAAAGCGTTTTCTTTTGACTCGGCTGACAGGCTATTCCATAAAGTACCGAAGTGATGACGTCATAAAAATCTATTTTCAGAAGTTTTTAATTTTGATCCCAGAACCTAAAAGAGCATCGTGAAATACCTCTAATTATGCAAAATTGGTCAAAGGCATTACGAATTGGCTTAGATATGGCCACATGAGCACAGGCTCTTGCTCTATCAAACCTCTGTAATTTGGTCTTGGTTCATAACTTTATGAACCAGGCCAAATTAACAGTAATCCGTGAGCAAACTTTAATTCTTCCATTGGCCATATCTCGCCCAATTTTGAGCATCTCTAACTGATTTTGCATTTCGCGAGGTATTTTATGCTGTTCTTTCAGATCATGTGGTCAAATTTAAGAAATTATAAAAAGATTTTTTATGACTTCACACTTCGGTACTCTATAACTTCGCATCCTGAAAAAAAAACAATTCCAACCACTCATTGGGCAACATCAAGTCCGTACCTGTGTTACGAAGGTTCGTGTGAGGAGGCCAATCAAGTATTATGGAGCCAACCCGTCCGGTGACTTTGATTCATTTGTAAACGGTCTACCATCCCAGCCCTTCAAAAAGAGGTCTGCTTAGGTCTTTGAAGCTGCTTCTCGTACTCAGGAACTCGAATCTTTCTATTGAGAATAAAATGATCCATGGTATCGAACACACTTTTAAGACCAATGAATACTAGATTCGCAAGCTTACCAAGATCCATTCTTTTGTACCAGTCGTCAGTATTTTTGAGTAAGCATTTAACTATAGAATGAAGGCGCTAAAAACCGGATTGGCCGGATGAAGGTGTTCATTCGTATACTTGTGCAACTGATTTGTTGCTAGTTTTTCTAAGGGCTTTGAGATGGCAGGCAAGCTTATAATGGTAGATTGTTGGATTTAATACTCTTATCCCCATCTTTGAAGAACGGAGTAACTCTAGCAACTTTCCATGAGTCAGGAAAACGTCGTCTTCAATGAATGTATTGAACAAGAAAACAAAAGAGTTTTTAATAAAAGGCAGCGCGAGTTTCAGGAAGACAGTCAAAGTACAATGCCCTCAAAAAGTCTTGGTACACTGACGTCAGTTTTCAAGAGCAAATCCAGCCATCCCCCCCTTAGATCAATGTTGGTTAGATACAAAACGACGCATGGGATTAGGAAGAAACTACGTTTTTCTTGCGACTTGTATGATTATCAACATTGTTCTGTGGGGAAGGGGGTGCGAATGTAGCAATATTCAGGAAAAGAATGGAAAAGTATAAAACAACAACGCATATTGCTGGGTTTTCCAAATACTTTTGGCCGTGATTATAGCTAGAGATGTTGTCAGTCACAACGCTCTTTGCTGACGTGGTAAATGCATACCTGAACCCCTTTATTTCAATTTATTTGAAATGGAAAGTCGTCTTGTCTTTTCTAAGTCGTCTTGTGTTTTCTAAGTTCACTGTCTCCTACAAGAAAGGAATTTGGAGCTACAATCCCGGACAAAATTGTTGAGACAAAAAGCAATTTTTGCAATTTTTTTTACTTTAAAGTGCCACTGAACTGAAAAAAATGAAATTTTTTTTATTGTTGATTCTGGTAGACCTATCATCGCTGATTTCGGAAAAAAGTTTAGTTTTTTAATTTGGGGCCCACAAATAGGGGTTTCTGGGGTTCTTTTGCGAGTAGGTCGTGCGAAAAGAGGCTGGGGCGAGTGACGCATTCAGATTTATATAGTCATTTCAGCCATAGTGAGGGCTGTAAGAAGATAAAATGATACAAATTGTGTAAAACATGACACAAGCATGAAACTTGATAGAGATAGGCAGTTTAATACGCCGAAAAAGATAGGGTGTGAATAGACGCTGACAAATATACCCTTGTGCTATTTATAGACTGGGGTACTAGGTTCCAAACCTCTAAGCAGTAATTGACATAATTTAGCCATTATATCGCGAAACCAACATGGAACGTGGTAGTAATAGGCAGTTTGATACGCTGAAAAAGATAGGATATGAATTGACCCTGAAAAATTCCCCTTGTGCTATTTATAGAGTGGGGTACTAGGTTCCAAACCTCTAAGCAGTAATTGACATAATTTAGCCATTAGATCGCGATACCAGCATGGAACTTGGTAGTAATAGGCAGTTTGATACACCGAAAAAGATAGGGTCTGAATAGACGCTGAAAAATATCCTTTGTGCTATTTATAGACTGGGGTACCAGGTCCTAGACCTCTTAGCAGTAATTGACAGAATTTAGCCATTAGATCGTGATACCAGCAAGGAACTTGGCAGTAATAGGCAGTTTGATACGCCGAAAAAGATAGGGTCTGAATAGACGCTGAAAAATACCCCTTATGCTATTTATAGACTGGGATACCAGGTCCTAGACCTCTAAGCAGTCATTGTCATAATTTAACTTTTAGATCGCGATATCGGCATGGAACTTTGTAGAGATAAGCAGTTTGATACGCTGAAAAAGATAGGATATGAATTGACCCTGAAAAATCCCACCGTGCTACTTATAGGCTGGAGAACAAGGTTCCAGATAAAGCAAGTTTTTTTCATAATTTTCATTTTGGATCACGATACCATGACAATAATGCTAACAATGATGCTACTGCTATAACCAGGGACGCCAAGACATTCTGGAAGCCAAAACGGATAGGCGATATTTGCAACCACGAATTCTAGATTAGCCTAAATTGATTCTTTTTCATGCAAACGTTTAAAAAAGTTTTACTTTTAAAGGCATAATTTTGTTACTTTTAATCAATTCCATTTAAAATGAACTTCTACTTTTTGAGGCCCCCTGACCACGGGGCAATTTATCCCATCTTGACGGCCCTGGCGATAACTGATGCTTTGACAGTGGCAACGCAAGTTGGAAAGTGGGAAAAGCGCCGAAAAATGTGCAATTTGTTTGGTTCTTTAATAGAACAACTTTTTCCCTTGATCAATTTGCTCACTTTTATTCATAATTTGTAAAGCTGTTTGTAAGAGCATTCTTATTCGACACGCTCAATTATTCATAAAAGGTAAATGATCGGCATGAAGTCTTGGTAAAAACTGCACGCAAAAAGTTTGCTTATTTCGTATCGGCTCGAAATTTTCGCAAGAAAATACCTTGCACATGTCTTGTAGTTAGATAGCTAGTGATATTTAGAGCACAAGTATCGCACTATTTTCATCCACTTCACGTTTTTTTGGGTTTTTTATCTCACTCGAAATACAGCTTTCAGTACTGAAGCCCGCATCACTTCCGCGACTTATAAACGTTAATGCGTCACACATTCCTGAAATTCCTCACAGACCGCGCACAAATTTTCGCACAAAAAGTCTTGAAAATCGCAACTTTGAAGCGTTGTAGCTTCAAAACACTTCACAATTCCGAAAAATGAACTTCACCATCGGATTCAGGAGCACTGACTTGACTTAGAACATCAATAAAAATTTTTTTGATTTTTTCAATTCAGTGGCACTTTAAGTTGCCTCTGTAAATTCGAATCCCCCCCCTTTCTCCATGAATCGATGCTGGACTTGTAGTGTTATCATTTATTCTTCAAAATTATGCATTCAACATTGAATTGAGGGAGGGGAAAAAGTTATTTTTCAAAGGAAAGAAAAAATATCAACTTGTAGATCTATTCTATCAGCAAGATCTTTCAACTTGGAACTTCTTTCAAGTCATTGTGTTTTTAGATCAGATGATTAACGTTTCTTTCTTATAAAAAACTCTTCATTAGATACTGAACATTAAAAATGCGTTGAAAAGAAAACATTGCTAGAAAGATTCGCATGAGAGGCAGGGGGAGTCAATATGTGATATAAGGAAAACAAAGGAAACAGCAGGGTTTTTGAAGAAAAATTTATTTCTGCACATTTGTCTCGGGACCACTGTGATGAAGGAATAATTATTGATTCTTTTAAGTATAAATAAAATGTACATGATGCGCAGGTACAGGTATCTGGTGCTCCAGACCAGTGGCGTAGCCAGGAATTGGAAGATTGGGGAGGGAGTTAAAGGGGAGTCTGACAGCATAGGGTCAGGGGCTTTACCCCCGAGAACATTTTTCCTGTCCACACCTCTAAGAATCTAGGAAAACGCCCCCATTTTGTAAATGCGTTTGGAAAAGCTATGGCTTTTTACGTGGCAATGGTTGGCTAATCAAACACAGTAACTGTCATTGTAGTTTTTTGTGGCTGACCCCCATTCTACAACTGTCTATTTCCTTCACAGTTCCTCTAATATTTATATTCTGATTTGTGAAGAGGAGAAAGCGCTACGTGTAAAAACTGATTTTTCAAAACTGTAAGCAAATATCTAAAGATAATAGGCAGTATGCATAAGTTTCAAACTCGGTCCATCATCCTTGGAGCAAAATCTGCAAAATCCCTGACAAGCATTTCAGAATCCAGTTTTTCTAGGGATTGAAGCACTTTAGCATTTTAATTTCTATTTTTATAGAGAATTTCTAAAGAACATGGAAGACATTTCAATGCAAACGCTAAAATGAGGGAAATTGATAATCATTCAGTAGAGACGAGGGTCGCCATTTTTTGCAATCACGCCCTTAAGATTAGCTTAAAATTTCAGAATATTTCTTACAGTCGTTTACATGCAATCTTTAAAAAGGTTCAATTTTGTCTGAAATGTCAACTCCCCCCCCCCCCTTGCCTGGGGTACTAATTTTATTGCAGATTTGCACTTTTCCAAGACACCAACATTCTGTGATTTTGGAGGAAATGCTCCAGACCCCTTTCTTGAAAGTAGAGGTTTAGACATTGTTAATAAGCATGTTCAATTGACATGCTCGTCGATAATTTAATTTAGACATATATATAACACTCTATTTTAAAGAAAATTTTTCGAAATTCATTAATAATGTAATATCAATTTGCAGAAAAAGAAAGTAGATTCTAACACAACTTGGACGCAAAATTATAAAGTACATTAAAATTATAAAGTACATGAAGTACATTAAAACCAAATTTTCGATCATATGACAACCATTGTGAGTTCTTGGTTATATAGAATTACAAGAAACCAAAGTCAACTGTAAAGAATCTTGAAAAACAAAATTGTGTTCGTGGAACAACATTTAATAGGGATGTAGTATATAATGTTTTAAAAACTTTAATATCTTCTTTTTATCGAGCTATGTCAATAAGACGGATGAAACTGATGACGATGAAGCAAGGTATAAATAGCAATTGCACAGCAGCTTGAGAAGTAAATGTTAAATTTTCTCCAATTCAGTTGTCGGTCAGTATAGTTTGACCATACAACTGTAAAATTTATATTCAAAACTGGTGATATAATTTTCTTTCTGCTCTGAATTTTCAATTTTCTCTGATTTGAGAGTTCAAACAAGCTTCTGCTTTGATACTATCAATTTCAAGCTTTGTGTATGTGTGACTCAAAAACGATAAAGCGACTATGAAGTTTCGCAATAATTACATTTCCTCTCCACTGAAAGTCTTTTTATATCTTTCATTTTCCAATAGGTCTTTGCTTGATTTGAGCGCCATCTTAATTATCTTTTTTGTGTTTCATCATTTGAACTTTTGTTTGTTTTTTGCTGCAATAGTTTTCCGGATTTTTGTGTTCATTAAAGTAAAATTTTTGAACTGCACAAAAAGCTTTTAGAGCTGCACATTTTGTGTAGAACTGCACGTTAAAAAAACCCTGGGAAACCTCTGTTTGGCTTCCATGTTTGGGGGCGATTCAAGATTACAGGATTGCCTGTCCCTTTATATTCGAAATAACTTAGATCATTGACGAGGAGCTTTTCTGGAACATCTTGTAGTCCTTGCCAAAAGTGGGTCTAAAAGTGGGCTTTGGAGAGGTGCATCGACTGAAGAAACGGTTTCAAAAAGAATAACAAAGCACAAAGAAAATTAAAACCACATGAAACAAGTTCACAATATTATTTCTGCTGCTAAAATTTTAAATAACAGTGCAATAAATATATTTTACAAGTTTCCAGCTAAATTTCTCTCAGTAGCGTAGCGAGGGGCCTGGGGGGGGGCGACCACCCCTAATGCTTCTCAGCAAGTTGATGTCTGAGAAAAGTGCAAATCTGCAATAAAATCGGTAACTCGGGGGGGGGGGAGTTGATATCTCAGACATAATTAAAACGCTTTTAAATTAAAACACTGCAAGCAAACGACTGTAAGAAATATTCTGAATTTTTGAGCTAATCTAAAGGGCGTGGTCGGATAAATTTTCTGCTCGCTTCGTCCGCGGGGGACTCTCGTCTGTACCTCTACAGGATGTATTATAACATTCTCTCGTTCTAGGATTACATAGAAAAATCCTACACGTTATTTCGACATTCCCGATAAAGCGCTTCCTCAAAAAACTGGATTCTGAAATGCTTGTCCAAGCACCGGGGGAGCTTTAGCCCCCCCCCCTCCACTTTTTGCAAAAAATGACAAATATTAAGTATCAAACTACCAAAAAAGCCTCTTTTTATACGGTTTTGGCCCCTCCCCCCACTTTTTTTAGACCCCCCACTTTTCCCAACGCTCCGTGGTGCCTGTTGTCGGGGGTTTTGCTCCAAGGAAAACGGTCCTTAGTTTGGAATTTTTGAATACCTTTTATTACTTTGTGATAATTGCTTACAACTCTGGAAAATCAGCTTTTACACATTCAGCTTCCTCGCCCTTACGCAATTCAGAATGTGAACATTCTGAAGGAATAGCCAGTTGTAGAATGGCGTCAGCCACAAAACCTACATATGACGGTCATTTTATTTGATAAACCAACTATTGCCATGTAAAAAGCCAAAGCTTTTTCAAATGCATTTACAAAATGGGGCATTTTCCCAAATTCTTATGAGTGTGGTCAGCAAGTATTTTCCCAGGGTAAGGCCCCGGACTCTCTGCTGTAGGACTCCTCTTTGCCCTTCCAACCTTCCAACCCTGGCTACGTCACTGTCTCTTACTAAAATTCATGCTTTTATTTGTTGAAATTTTTGTTATTAGCATTTAGCCCGATTCGCGTTCATTCAGACAAACACTTTGAAAGCGACTAAACCTGTCTGCATTGTAATTTGATGATAAAATAATTTTGCTATGAGCATTGACCAGGTAACGTTTTGGGGGGGGGGCTAGACATGCTAAAACCAAGAGCAAGGCAACTTCTTGTATAGTTTTAAGTACATTTTGGAAATTTTTTGCCCCCTTAGCCCCCCGCTTCCGCGGTCTCTGGCTATGAGTAAATTTTGACACATCTTTCAAGAGAATGTTAAACAGCCAAATTTATTTATTAAGGTCAATAAATTTAACCCGTAGATTCACTAAATGTGACCCAAAAGTTTTACTTTATGCAAAAAGCTGAAATAAACTCCTACTGGAACGATACCCCAAGGTCTATTACTGCCCCCAAGGCCATTATGTATAGAGATCACAAGGTTTGACGCGAGCTTTGATATCTTAGTTATTCCTAAAACCTCCTTTGATTAATCAATCATCTTTCGCCGTTCTTTCTTCACTTATGATGGTTTTTAGGCATTCTTTAATGATCAGATGTTAGCCTGCCACGACTTTAAACGATAGATTTGCACGAACATCCACAAGAATAACAACGTTTTGATGAAATTTCATTGGATTATGCGATAAAATAGACAAACAGCAAGCAATTCTCTTTAAATCCTTATAGGGTGACCATGTTACCACGATCCAACGAGCCTTCTGCAAACCATTCGCTTCGCACCCAGACCCTAAAAAATGCAGCGCAGCGGCAGTGTGCAAGGAGCGAGGAATAGGGCAGAGGCCGGTGGGGAATGTGGTCTACGACACTGGGGAGCATTATGTTATTGAATTATCTTAATTGGATCTGCAATCCCTCGCACAAACGTCCATGGCTTCCTTACTTCTGCCACGCAGCAATTATTTTGGAATATACCCCATTACAACAACCTCACGAATAACCAACCTTAAATGATTTTTCTTAATCAAGATGTATTGGGCGATTCTATGCGGTTGAAAATTGATTGACGTTATTGTATTTGGACTGGTAAGCGGGAAAGTTTCCATTATGTTTACACTGCCTGTGCTATTCCCTAGCTTAAGAACATGATTACTGTTGTGGTCGAAGCAAGTGATGGTTACGGAGACAATCTCTCTGAAGTCCAAAAAGTCTAATTTCCACCATCCAGGATAGTACGCGATGTAGGAAAATGTTTGATGATTGCCATCAATTGCAAGGCGAGCTGGATGGTGTGTGTATCCATTATCGGATTGACTGCTTGTTCCACTGCCGGCAATATTTTCAACGTAAGGACCTGTTGGTGCAACAAAGTATCATGAATACGGAAGTCCAAGTCAGACACAAAAAAATACAGAGAAAAACTCACGCATGCTCGAGCTTACATATGAGATTTTGGAGCATTTCCAGGTTGGCCTAATGAGGTACCTGAAAATTCATTGACCCAAAGTGACTTAAAGGTCACAGCAAGGTGCGATGCAACAGGGTGGACTGGGGTAGATAAGAATGTTCCATCTCTTTTTCTTCAAAGATATCTTTGATTCAACCAAAACTGAGGAGAAAATTTGTTTGAGGGTGAGGGGGGGGGGATGAGTCATGTGATTGTGATGTTCCTGCTGAAAGTCATCAATAGTTGCCTTCGAGCTACAGTCGTGTTGAGATTGGTGTAGATATGGGTGACATAACAGAGCTTGAGATTATCGTAAACAAATCTGAAATAACTGGTTGTCTAAAACTTCCACTATGAAACATTTAAGGATCGTGTTTTAATGATATGACATTTTGACAATAAAGCCAAGGACGAAATAACTGTTTCATTACTGGTTACTTTGCAATGTTTGAATAAGGACATCTAAGTAGAGTTTTGCCTGCAAATAAAAAGTTGTATGATACTTTACAGGCCAATTAACTTTGTTTTGTGAAATCCAAAAGAATAATTTGTTACTCCATGAAAACATCTTAGTACGGCTACTGAGCTGAAGGAAATGACAATGATCTGCAACTTCTTTAGAAATATGAAACAGAGTGGGTTGATCCAGCAACCCTGCCTGCTCGAGCGCCTAAGTGAAAAGAGGCCAATCAACATACCTCTTCTACAAGCCATCCCAGAATACAGCTCTTTGCATGAATGGCAAACATAGCCAGGACTGTAGCAAACGTCCATGCACAAGTCATCAGCTGCACAGGGGTTCAGCTTCTTGCATAAGTTTCCGATCTAAAATGAAGAACATCTTCTAAATACCTGTAATGCCCTTACAATCAATTTGCTACTTGTTCTTTGTTCCGAGGGTGGCTATGCTCGATAAGAAGCTATGATTATCGAGCAGTGTCCTGGTCCCGGGACGCCGGAACGACAAGGGGCAAGGGGGACTGGCCTCAGTAAAAGAGCATTTGAAAAACAATACCCAGCTACCAACAATTCTTTCTTAACCGCCATTTTGTTTCGATCTTCTGTCGGTATCTTAAAAATCGGCTAACCTTTGGCATAAGAAATTTCTTTACAGGTTTTGAGAAACGTCGTCATAAATAAGACAATACAGCCAGGATTTCATATGAATCTTTTTGATTTACTACAAAAGGCTGGCATCAAGAGCACTTCTATGAAAAGGGTATTCTAGCCCCTCTTGCCCCTCCTATGAAAAGGCAACAGGGGCGGTTGACCCCCACCCCCCTCTCCAGCGTCCCTGATCCTTCCTCTAGATGTCACCAGGCCTGTGATTCCGACGCCTGTAATGGCAGAGACCAGGACACTGTCCTTACTCTAAGTGAAAGAAATAATTTGAAGCAGACCTTTGGATCTTTAGTCCGCTACTTTAACCTCTGAGCCACCTCTTCAAAAAATTGACAGAAACTTACATTTTATATTCTCTCCATATTTCCACTACTCCCCCCCCCCCTTTCACCACGAGTAATGTTTAGTAACCAAGACAATCTGCAGTATTGTGTTGAAGGAGAAGAGAGTGTGCAGGGATATTAACGGGACTCGTTAAAATGATTGCAGGATTAACGGGAAGAAATAAATTGATATCCACCAAACAAAACTTTGAAATCCGAAAGGTCCTTGTTTCTAAAATGCCACTTATGGACATGATAATTGGTTTACCAGAAGGAAAAATATAAAAATAGAGCCTGTTATACATGGCGGTACTATACAACATGTACCGTACCCAACCTCGGCTTGATTTCATTGTTTTCTAGAGAGGGTCCTCGGAGCTCTAGGGCATTGGCGGAAGGAAGATGGACACTTTCCAGGATTCTAGGGAGGAGCTGCGAAGCGGTAAAAAACCCGGCCTGGTGGCGCTGCATACTTGGTTTAATTTGTGCTTGTTAATTGGACCCGGATCATGTAAACCCTATCCTACACCTAGGTAATTTGAACCCTGGTTAATTGAGCCCGCGTAGCTCTGTCTCTGAGCCTCCGTTCTCCCGTTTCCGCACTTAAATTAATACAGCTCTGGTACCCAGAGTAGCCCAGGTGAAATCTGAATTCACCCTAGGTAGATTACTAGCAGAGTTAACAGGGCTTAAGAGGCTCAGAGACAGAGGCCTGGAATTGTATTCGAAAGTTCATTGTCCTCATTATTAGCTAAACATTGATAGCTTTTTTGAGACTTTTTCACTAAATCGTTTTACGTAGAACAATGATATAATTTGTTTTGGAGTATTATTATAATATTTTTTTGTAGGATCAAGCCCACGAACTGCTGGTCACGTTAAGTTTTGTTAACGGAATTTCATGCTGATCAAGTAGTAAGTGAGAGATTTTGATTCTTACGAAATGAATGGCCAGAATAGACCACACGTAAAGAATATGGGTTGAATTCGTTATAAATAGTTCTTTATGTTATTAATCATGAATTCGAAGCCATGCATTTCTTTTGACTCAAGCATCATAACATATGGCGCCCAACATGGGGTGCATCTAAAACTTCTTGCCACTGCATAAATGTCTCACCAAAGGGTCAGTGTAGCTTGTTGATTTGAAAATCCAGCCGTTTCTACCGACGAGGCTCACTCCGTCAGCCACATCTGTTATGGTTTTACTGCTAAGTTCACACTTTTTGGTGCCACCGTCCTCAATGTTTATCGATTTGCAGTAAATATTATTGATACATTCCTCTTCACATTGGCTTGGTAGTAAGCCGATGAACGCTTCCAGGATGTGACCCTCCAGGGCTTTATTGCTTTCCGTGTAGCTGAAATCTGCATAGTCTCCGCAATTCCTCCGCAGGATCCTTGCGTCTGCCAACTTAATGATGATGCCAATCAATATGATTTGATATGCCCTACAAGATATGTTTTGCAATTATGTGATTTAATGCTATGTGGCCATGATATACCCACTAGGTCCCCGTAACGAACCCGCTTGTATGATTTTTCAAGTGAAAAGTGCATTTCGGTGAAGAATCTGACCAGTGATGCCTGTGTTTCGCGACTAAAGATAGTTCAGGAGACAATTACAAAATATCAGAAATCAACCCCTGAACGTGAAAAATCACGCGGTTGTACCTAGATAAAAAGCCCTCTATTCTGTTCATGCTCAAGGTACTTTTTAATGTCAATAGCAAGGATGAAAAAGCAGAAACCGCGTAAAATATTATCGCAAAGCCGCAAAATCACGTATAATTGAGCCAAAAGTTCCGCACATAATCCTTAAATGAGCAAGAAAGCCGCAAACTGTGTCGCCAATGATGTCTCAAATAGCTTTTGTGGTAGGTAGTTTCGTAGACATAGGAATCGTTGGCACATCCCTTTACCCCTATTTTTTAGAAACAATGGTTAAGTGCCTATTTGCAGCTAATGGGGGCACCCCTATCCATGCTCCAAACCCCCAACTTTTAAAAAGCTTACTAAGACTATGCGCAAATTTTGTATAGAAACTATACACAATTGAGAAATCAAATTTTATATAGAGAACGACCTGTAGTTTTGCCGAGTACACGCATACGTCGTCAAAAATGGCATCTTAAATACTAGCAAATTTTTTAAAAAATGCAATGGGCGTTTATTTACACAGAAAGATGCCATTAATCACTTCTAACTGAATCGCTATTTCAACACATATCATTCACTGAAGTCTCGACCACACTTTTGGCTGGTGCTCACAGGTTGTGCGATTTCTATGGCGGTTTGCGGTCTCTCCAAGTAATACAGCTAATTTAGCTTACGGTAGCAGATTCAAGCGGTTTGCAGTTTCTGTAGCGCGGCTACGGTCTCAAAAGGGACGTCTCAAAAGTTTAAGAGAGAATCTTTGGTAGTAAATATGTAATTTTTTGTAAAGGCAGCTTGGATTTGCCTTCGCAGTTCCTTCTCTGCCTTGACCAGCCCTCGCAGTACGAGTATTTTGCCTTACGGATTTAACAAAAATGTTCGTACGAATTTCTGTGAATTTTTGATGTTGGTTGGCTTATAATAGTGGATCAAACAGCTTTGAATTTTTGTCTTTTTATTTCTTTTACTCGGAGATAATAGTTGGATCAATATTACAGAAAACATTACTTTACAGCTAAAGAACATCAAATGTTGATTTTACAGCCATTTTGTTTTGTTGATTGCTGAGAGAGTCATACAATAGAAACCCGCATGAAAGAACCTGTTTTTATAAGAACCTTGAGGCTAAAATTTAATCTTTTCAAACCCACAATTAAGAACCCCCAAGAGACTGAAATTTAGAACGGTTCTTATATATAAACATATAAAAAAATAGTCTTTAGGATGGTATTTTGACACGCTATTCACATTGGCAAATTAAACCAGCTTAGAATAAATCAGGCTATGGTAGGTTGCATTCAAATTGGACAATCTAACAACACATATTCACTTGATTGCTTGAAATTTAACATGAAAAACAAAGCTTTGGTGTGTCTGTTCGAATTCTTGCGGTGGAAAACATTGTTAATGTGTGCACGGCTTGTACACATATAAGAACCTTGTTAAGAACCTTTTAGACTGGAATTGAGAATAGCAGCATGTTAATTAAGAACCTATTCAGGCTGCAAGAAAAACCTAGGTTCTTTTATGCGGGTTTCTACTGTACAGCTCTATCATCACAACCAAACTAAGTTAGTACCTTTGACAACCCTTATTTGAGGGGAAGGTCTTTCAGCTTAGCCTGCGCGCAGTCTTTCTGCTGGACATACGGTAGCTAAGTGCAGTGGCGAAGCTGGACTCCCATGGATGGTCGTGCCCATTGGCCACTGCGCAACAGATATGCGCCTCCGCAATATTATCATATAGCAATCGCATGGCACTGCATTACTTTTCTGACAAGATAGAAACAAACTAAAATTAAAAGTATAAAAGCTGCTTTTGTGTCTCCCCTGCCTCTGGCTGATACTCAAAATTCATTTTCTTCCCAAAGTGTGATGGAGGTTCCTGGCAACTTTTTTTTATTTTTGGTATTATTTACCCAAATTTCAGTTCACAGGATAATAAAGCTTGAACAACAACCTTTTTCTAAAATTTTATCAAATTATTGCAACAATGGGACCAAAATATACACCTGGGACTCAGATTTCAAATGTATAATAATTGCAAGCACTATTTGTTTTGCACATATAAAATTTAGAATTTCATTTAAAAAAGAGGCAAAAGTTTGGCTTTAAAGGCGAACTTGACTGTGAAGTGCAAGACATGTATCAAGAATTAGATGACAAATGAAACAGATGAAACAGAAATATTAGAATATCTGCTGAAGACAGTACTGTGATGCAGCATTATTGATCTAGCCACAGTTAAAAAGCACTAAATAGTGAGTGGCAGAATGAAGGCAATCTTTCTTTAAAATCCTTGAGACCTGTTTTTTCATCAGGTTTGTTGCATAAAGATTTGTAGGTAGCCACTTTGTTAAGCTGAACCAAACCACTCACAGAGATTCACCAATTAATTAGATACTTAATTTAAGGTTATACCTTATGAGATAATGATAAACTACACTATTTATGACAATATTTGAAAGTTGCATAAGATGAAATAACCATTATAAGGTTTGAATAAAACTCCAATTGAAAAGCAGCATTAAATTAATCATTGAAAATTTATGAATAAATAGGGCAGCATACACAAATGAAGAATGTTCAATAAATTTATTCAGTGTCCAGCTAGGTGGAAATACTGAGATCAGATGACTGGGGTCAAAAATTTAATACAGAATAATCATGAGCCTGAGAGCTATTGCAGACAACAGTGTTTCTTGAGCAAAAAATTAAGGGGGGAATGTGTAATAGCTTAAAGATTATTTCACCCTGCTTATTTAAGACAAACTGACTAATTCATGGAGAAAGTTACCTATATTAAGGAAAATATATGCACACCGAAGGAAACTGCACACAACCAAATTACATGGAAAGCAAGGGAAAAAATCAGAAAATCACTAGGCTGAGCTTGAAAACATATAATCAGAAACATAAACAGAATCATCAACAGGTTGATCAATGCTATTTCATTTTTCCCTTTCATGTGTTTTAAGGAGGGTAAAACTCCAGTAGAGCTAATTTGCAAAGAGGTTTTCTACTGTAAATACTTTCAAAATTCAGAACTTTCTACTGGGAAGATTCTAGTCCAAAAATACATCAAACACCTCGTAACTAATGTAAAATCAATAGAGTTTTATGTACGTTTTGCCCCAAATGTTCATAATACTTTCGTCTTGAACACCTAAGTATAATGTTGTCAAAATAAATATTGATTATTTTATTGATTGATTGATTGATTGAGTTTATCCCGTTCAGTTTGCGTCTCTCTGGTACAAATCCGAGCGAAAAACTGCCATATTTTCCATTCTGATCACAACGATATTCAAATTATTGAACATCCAGATGATATTCAAATTATCGTCCATTTTCTAGATAAGATAGCATCTTGCACATTTGAAGATCTTAATTCTGTTCGGTCTAGGTGAATGAGAACTTGTTCGCCTACCAAAGAGATCCATTGGATTGATTCCGTATAGGCTGAGTCAAAATAACTATGAAACAATCCCTCCACAGTCGTTAACCAGTTTCCTGATATATTACAACGGTTTATTGGACTGGAACATTTACATGCACCATTCAAATCACCCTGATATCACAGCAACATCCACAAACGCCTGCAGGATTGACAAGTAGGCCCCAATGATACAGGGTGCAGATAGTCTTGCCTTCAGAAGCGGGCACGACCTCGTGATTGATTTCCTCCAGCTTCAGCCAATCAAATGCTGGAAATCGTACCTCAACTATTATTATTATTATGACGAGGTCGTGCTCATTTCTGAGGGCACGACTAGCATTGTTTTTCTCTATTGTTGGGCACGACCAAACATAGGCTGTCCAATTGAAGCTTCTATTGTTGGGCACGACCAAATCACAGGGTACCAGATTTTGGGCACGACCAATATGAAACCCTGTGGATTTCTACTCCGCTCCTGAAATAATTCCAGGGGCCCTGGGCGATTCGAGTAGAATTCACTTATGTCTGCGGGATAAGCTTGATCGATTTGTCGATTATACGACTAATTTTTGTCTATATTTGAAAAATTTTCGCGGAGCAAAATAAATTTTTGCCAATATGTGAAAACCTTACTTTTGGAAGTTTATGGTCGTGCCGGGCACGACGGGCACGACCTTTGGCTTCGCCACTGGCTAAGTGCTTCTTTCAAGTGGCCGAGCGCACAAAAAAGTTGAGACCCTATCAACTTTCTGGCGCTCACAGCGGACGCAAAACCGAGACCACTTAATTTTAATTACGCATGCTCAGACTTGGGCGCTACGCCCGCGCGCACAAAAAATGTCAAATGGCAATCGGCCTTTACAAACTCGAACGTTCCGTTGCTTATTTTGTTTTTAAAACCTTTTCCGATAGAAAAGACCAACACCGCACCCCTTCTTACCAAAAACGACGATGTTTGTAGAGTTCGATATCGTAGCTTTCTGAAAGGAATCGATTGGAATCTGAAAGGATCACACAAACCGCTTAACGTTACTTCAAAAAATATTTTTCGTAGGCCAAGGGACAAGATATAAAATGTTTATAATTTGAATATAGTGTACCAAACCATTTTGCAGATTGTCAAAATACTTACCTCAAACTGTCCATCTTAACACAGCTAATATCAGCAATGCTTTCCCAGAACACTATCATTTGGTCAGTTTATCTGTCAATGGGTAAACATGGTGATATTTCTGAGTGCCATTTAACATAAATGGGGCGACGGGTATCCACACTGAATAATGAATGCCAGCTGATAAGATGTAGTTCTGTAACATATTGCAGGTGCAAAATGCCTTCATTGATACAAACAGCAAGCCGAATCGTCACCATGGAATTACAAAAACAAATCTCGTACGACACCCATATGGATTTCCCCAAAGGCCCATATGATAAGAGCATCCAATCATTTCAATCAATTTATCATTGCAATCAATCAGTCACTTTGAGCAAAAATCACTCATCAATCAATGAATCAATCACCTAGCCAATCAATCCAGACAATCACTCAAATAAATTGCTTTGACGAATCAATCAATTTATTCATAGAATAAATAATAAAGTATTTTACTCGTTCCAATAAAAGCACATCGAGCCTGGACAGCAAATGAAAGATAACAAATCAGCCAAAGATAAGAAAATTTATTTATCTACAATGAAATTACGGCCACATTAAAAATAGAGCTAGCAGTTACAGGATATTGTTCAAAAATTAAAATCGAGGAAAGTGAAAAGTATCTAGAATTCATCTGAGGTATTCTCCTTGCAAGTCACTAATTTCTTTATCGAAGAGCGTAGAGCATTCCAGCCATTTGCGCTCCTAAAAACATAGGCATAGCAGACATAGGGACTTGGGCTGCCAAATCAAGCAAATTTTATCGAATTTCAGGCCCAATTGGACAGTTTTATCTCAATGAAGCAACAATATTCGGACAAGACCCATACTAACCCCCCTAAAAGATTAGCCTCCGCTAAGCCCATGCCCATTGATAATAATATCTTCTTCTAACTTCTTGTTTCTCTTATAAGAGTGATATAGCAAAATTAGCATTATTAACATACAACTTTCGTTTGTTACAAAATAGATTTTACCTGTGCTAGACTTAGTGCAAAAATTTTGAGTTTCAGGTATTTGAGTTTCAAGAACTTCGTCTCTTTGTCAAAGGTAAATTCTTATTATTGGAATTCTACTGCACCGGATTCGCCTCATTTCCGATTTTTATACACAACCCAGTTTCAATCTCCCAGTTTATTCCAGCCCTACTACCACTGTTTGTCAGTTGTTCGATTATTTTCAACCCCACCCCCCATTAATTATCTCAGCCCCCTTTGATTGGAGTCTTGCTAGTTTGCGTTGCATGATGTTGGGCGAATGTTGGGCGAAATGTTTGATCGTTTTACCACCATGTTGGGTCACCCAACATCGTCTTTTTTGATGTTGGATGAAATTTTACTGAGGTCAAAAATGTTGGCAGCTGACATCCAACAATTCTATTGTTTTGAAGTGTTAAGTGAAATGTTGGATCGTTTGACCACCTCAGCCAACATTGTTGGCCTCTCACACGCGCAATAGGTTAAAGAGCACCAAAATTCAATCATCGCATCGTTGTTGTTTTCTCGGGCTGATTTCGTTCGTTTCAACAATCGCGTTTGCTTTCAACTAGTTACACTTTAATTATGGACATTATAACGAAATATAACGAATTCTGCGCGAAAGAAGCGACACCAAGCGTCAATGAAGATGCTGTAGCACGGATGAGCTGCAAGAAAGTACAGGGGGACGAAATTAGGCCACGGCCTTGATAGGGGATGCAACGCTCACCCTGAAAGACCGCGATGGCAGTGAAAATATCTGAAGAGAAAATAAAGAGAAAAGGCAGTGATTGTTTTTTGCTTTTTCGGATCGAAATGTCGCGAAACTGTGCAGCCTTCAGCGAGAACTTCTACCCAGTCCTTTTTCGATCTGCGCGTGGAAATGGTGGGTGAAATGACGGGCAAAATGTTGGATTGCTTGACCAGGGCTTAATGCTTGTGTTAATATTCAAATAGTTTGTATGTTGCAAAAAATACAAAAGCAAGCGTAACCGCTAATTCTTCTGCTCCATCTGATGACTTGAAATTTATTTGAAAGCTTCGTGGTTAAATCAGGATGATTTATTGTATTCTAAACACAATGCATTTCTTATTTTTCTTTCATTGCTTTCCTCAAATGCCAAAACATTTATCTCGTGAACCAAAATATGAATTTACAGACCTGGGACATGGTACACTCTACTACAATACTGCATAAATTTACGATGAATTGTTCTGAAAGGTTTCCATCAAGAGATGGTCTTAGTAACATTTCAGTTTTCCCACCGTAAAGTATGCCTCCTCCCCACTGCCACCGGTATCACCAAACCTCACTTCCGATACTGGCAGATCTTCTTTATATCGCAAATACCCAGAGTCTTCTCTCCATTCACGGCTGTGCGCATCACAGTTGCACCATTTCCCATTATGACATGAATTCGTCAGTTTGCAGGCACATCCCTTTGCTGTATGTTCCACACCTCCCCAGTAACTCTTCCTTGCTCCTGTAGCTGAATACCATGCCCCATTGGGGGAGTCATCGTGCAAAAAAAGGCCGGTGTATTTGCATTCGTATTTAATGTATTGCTCACATTTGTCCGACAATCTCACTATTTGTTTAATCAGATCACTTGAAATTTCATATTTGATCTTTCGAATATATCCGAGTTTTGCTTCAATGCCATTCACGTGTGTCCTGACTTCACTGTCGTGTGATACGACGGTCACTCCAACGCCATTGTGACTGCTCATATCACAGAAAACGCGCACAGGTTTATTGAAAGTTCGCATTACGTAGATGCTATAATTGCCTGATGCAGTTTGACCGCTCTGTTTCAACTCTTTACATGTTCTTGGCGGCCGTTCATAACGCACTCTTGTACTATGTTTTAATGTGGAAGTCCTCGACCTGATTATGCACTGATAATTCTCATCAGCTTTTGCGCCCCACTTAATCGTCATGACCTGGTTATTTTTGGAAAGAAGTGTTTTGTTCGTCACCAGATTTCCATTTTTTCTCCAAGTGACCGAAGTTGGCTGTACTCCACCTTCATAAACACAAGAAAGCTGTGCATTTTGCCTAAGTAAAACAAATCTAAAATTTGGTGGCTTTACAACGAAGGAAAGTTTCCTTGCAACGTGTAGGTTTGCCGTGGCATTAGAGTTTGCGAATCTGTTTACTGCATTGCACACATATTCCCCACTGTCCTCCATCTTAGTTTTCTCTATCTCAATCGTTTGCATTTTGTCTCTGAAAATTGCATTATTAGAAATCTTTCCCGACTTTCGACTCCATGTAATTGCTGGCCAGGGATTTCCAACAACATTACACCTGATAACACTTTTTTCCCCTTCTTCTATCTCAATCTGCGGCATTATTATCCGAGTCTTGGGTGCAACTGAAAAAAGAACGAAACTTTTCACATGTCGAGACATAACTTGCATCGTCTTCCTCAAAGTTTCAATTTTAGCGTCGAAATTATCCATAGATCGGGAAAGTGATGACGTCACAGAAATCTATTTTTAGAATTCTCAGATTTGCTTCTGATTTCCTGAGGTATGCCCAATGGAAGTTTTGAAGTTTGCTGACGGATCAATCAGGGCCCGTGTCACAGGGGGGCCGGGGGCAATGCCCCACCCACTTTTCTTGCTAACTATAGGTAATAAATCCCTTATTGCCCGCAACTCGCGCGCGATAGCGCGCGAGTGAAGGGCTTATAGTCTGCCCCGCGTATAAGTAGCATATGGAAGCTTCAGTTCATGTTGTCAGCACTTTGTCAGCAGATTTTGTCACTTTTCTGCTGCCATGACAACTGTCAATCAATTTAATTGTCAATCAATCGGCTTTGTCGAGGAGGTCGTTAACCGCCACCTCTTTGTGCGGAAGGGAATTATCTTCGCAGCGTTGCTCTGCCAAGACTCTGCTTAGGACTTCGGTTTTTTTGGCACGAAAACGGTGCTGCATCACAGCTCGGTTCTCATAAAAACCCAAGATGGCGTATTCTTCGAATATCCTGACCTAAATTTTCAAAACAATCATTATCAAGGAACTAATTGTTTGCGGGCAGTACTAGCAAGAGCTATTTCTAGTAGGTATTTTATAGGTTACCCCCCTTTTTTCATTTCAATCATTTCATTTTAATTTTATCTTTTTTACCCATGGTAGCTCCACAGTCGGAACTGATTTACAGGGGACCCTGCTAAAATATACAAAAAATATTTAATTAGAATTAACTTTAAAAAATCAAACTAAGCCATAATGAAATTACAATCGTTAAATGAAATTTCTTTTACATACATTAACAATAAAGAAAAGGAAGACATGATTAGTTCTACGTGAACAATTTATTGATTTTTTATCGCTTTCATAAAATTCTTAAATGTTGACGTATTTTTGGACTTTTTAGAAAAACCATTCCAAAGTTTCGCACCCTGGTAAGAGAAGCATCTCTGTCCTGTGGTCGTTCTTGGGAAAGTGACTCTTAGATCATAATCCGAAATTCTGAGAGACCGTGTTGTAGAGACGTTGACTTTAGTAAACATGTCACTCATATAGGACGGTGCATCACTATCGGGGATTTGTATATATATAATAATAATAAATAATTTGTTCAAAGTTGGCGTACTAAATGAACGTCTGATAGCTTATAAAGAAGCTAATTAAGGCCAACTATCTATAAGAATTAGTATTAAATAAATATATGATACAATATAAAAAATATTTATGCAACGACTGATATGGTATAGCGCTAAAATGTTTATGCAACGTTACAATATTAAAAATGTTGCTGGTATAATGTTCTAACCTAATCCTAATCCAGCAATAAATATTTTACACAATCTACAGTCGCATTCTTGTAGACAATCCTAGCAGATTCAAGATCAATTATTTCCCTTACTGTGGACCATCCAAGTGCACGAATGACTGGGAGTGACGAAGCATCGAACGGGCTGTTAGTGATCAATTTTGCCGCTCGATTTTGCAGTTTTTGCAATTTTCCTATAACTGATACACCAGTATTATCCCAAACCGGGCAGCAGCATCTGAAATAGGGCTCCATTAGGCTTCTTTACATTGTTTCAATTGTAGCAGGCGAAATATATTTTTGTCAATAACGAAGAATGCCAATAATACACCTGGAGATCTTTTTTGTGACAGTGGTCAAGTGATTAGGCCGCCCAAGTTTAGAATCGTTGGCGCAAGCTGTGTCAATATTGTTTTAGCTTGGTTCGTAAGTTTAGAACCAAGGTCAAATTACAGCAGTTTGATGGGGGGGGGGGGGGCAAGGCCTGTACTCTTGTGGCCATATCTCGAGCTATTTGTAACCGATTCAATTGATTTTTAAAGATTTCATGTTTCCACTGGCCGATTATGACGATTGTCGCGATAAAAGCAAAAAGTCTGTTGAAGTTGTCGCCTTTATCGCGATAATCGCCCAGTGGAAACCAGGCTTTAGCGGTATTTTATAGCGATTTTTCGGGCTGCATGTTCATAGTCTAAAAAATTCTAAAAGTTGAGTCTTATCATTTGCCTTCGCAGTTTGCCATTATACCGAATTCTTGAAACGCACCAAATGGTATCTTTAAAGAGTTCCTTTTATTGATCACTCACTAAACACTTTTTTGTAGAACGAACAAATCGAAATGAAATGAAAGCAATATTTTAATTTGGACAGCAAAATTTGAAAGAACATCCTATGTCTTCCTATGTCCTTAAAGACGTCCTATGTCTTAAAAACTGTAAAATATATGGAAACCTGTCTAAGTCATTGGCGTAACGCAGTTTAGTTGGTTAACTAAGGGCCCCCCGATTTAAAGGGCCCCCAATTTATTTTGATATCCATGTTCTGAAAACTTTCCTCAAGTTCACCTAATTTTCAAAATGTTTTAAAGCTCTTTAGCTAAAATAAAAAAGTCAGCTTCAAAATTATCATTTTTACATCTTGCAGTCGTGCTTGACATGCTCTGCACCTTTTGATTGGACTTTCTTGCAGTCCGAAAATAGGGGCCCCGTCCGAGTTTAACCCTTGGGCCCTGGATGCCTCCGTAACGGCATGATCTTAGGTTTTACGAAGTGAGCACGTGTCCTCCCTGTAACATAGATAAAACTATGAAAAAACCAGCAATTAACCCTTTTGTAATCTTCGTCACTTTAATTGGTTGTACCTCAACCATTTGTCAATAGATTGGACAGGTTTTTCATGTTAGGAGATGTTCCACCGTGTTGTTTCAGATGTCGTTATTTTTGTTGGTTATATAACTTAACTATAACTTAAGTGTTTTGAAAATACTAGCACCTTTATTCCTGATTGTTTAGTCAACGCCTTAACAAATGAAGAATAGAAAACGCGTAATGAAAATATTCCTAATCCTTTCAGTTGCTGATTTTTTCAGCGCACACGACAAACCCTATTTCTTTCAATATCAACAAAACCTAGATACTCAGTGATACTCACAATTCACTTTCAATGAAGCAATCATGCTGTCTTCTCCAATGACACTTTTTGCCACACAAATTAACTCGCCATCATCTGTGCTCTTTGCATTTTCAATCATCAACATTCCGTCCCCTACCCATTTGTACCTTCGATTAATCAAGTTCTTCTCAACCGGCATTAGACTTATTTCTGGTACCGGACTACCCGTTGCCTCACAAGTAAATGTCGCTATATTGCCTGCTATTACCGTCTGATTTTTCGGCGGAGTTGTAATTTTGGGTACAGCTATCGACTCTCCCTTGTTTCCCTTGATTCCTTGTGGCCCTCGTCCTCCATCGCGTCCTTGTGAGCCTCTGTTTCCCTTTTCACCTTTAGCACCCTTTAGTCCAGTCATTCCAGAGTCCCCCTTGCTGCCATTGAAACCCATCGGCCCAGCCTTTCCACGTCTTCCTTTGTGCCCAGATGGTCCTGAGGGGCCTGGTAGCCCCATTGGGCCTTGTGGTCCTGTGGGACCTGGTAGCCCTATTGGTCCTCGGAGACAAGTCGGAAGTATCAAGCTTCCGTTTGGTAGCCTCGTTATCAGCTTAAATAATGTTATTTGTTCTTCTTGATTCGCTCTTCTTTTCTTTCGTCTTTTTATTCCTCCTACGTCATAAACGAGATATCAAATGTGCATTTAATAAACCAAACATGATAAAAGTAATTAATTTCAAGAAAGGTTCCTGTGCAACAATATTTCCTTACATGCTCATATCCGAAAAAAATTGAAACAACAGGTTTGAGTAAGTTTTGAACATCGAGTTATTATTGCCTGTTTAATGTTGATATTGTTCAATGTAGCCTGAAAACGGCCTATTCTTTCCTTATTTTAACGGAAAAACGGAAAATTTCCTTATTTTTATTCCTTTACATTCCGTTACCATATTAATTGACGAAAGCAACCACAAAAGAGCTGGGATTGGCATATCAATCCGAACAACGAAGCTTTATCCATTTGCAGATAGAGAAATTAAAATCTCCTGCGCATGCAGAATTTGAAATTCGATACCTTGAACCTTAGTCAATAGATGCATTAGTTTAGTTAGTTAAAAGTACGATTCTCAAAAGCAACAAGAAAAGCTTAAAGTGCCACTGAATTGAAAAAAATGAAATTTTTTTTATTGTTGATTCTGGTAGACTAATCATCGCTGATTTCGAAAAAAAGTTTAGTTTTTTAATTTGGAGCCCACAAATAGGGGTTTCTGGGGTTCTTTTGCGAGTAGGTCGTGTGAAAAGAGGCTGGGGCGAGTGACGCATTCAGATTTATATAGTCATTTCAGCCATAGTGAGGGCTGTAAGAAGATAAAAAGTTACATATTGTGTAAAACATGATACAAGCATGAAACCTGATAGAGATAGGCAGTTTGATACGCTGAAAAAGATGGGGTGTGAATAGACGCTGACAAATATTCCCTTGTGCTATTTATAGAGTGGGGTACTAGGTTCCAAACCTCTAAGCAGTAATTGACATAATTTAGCCATTAGATCGCAAAACTAGCATGGAACCTGGTAGTAATAGGCAGTTTGATACGCTGAAAAAGATAGAATATGAATTGACCCTGAAAAATCCCCCTTGTGCTATTTATAGAGTGGGGTACTAGGTTCCAAACCTCTAAGCAGTAATTGACATAATTTAGCCATTAGATCGCGATACCAGCATGGAACTTGGTAGTAAAAGGCAGTTTGATACGCCGAAAAAGATAGGATATGAATTGACCCTGAAAAATCCCCCTTGTGCTATTAATAGACTGGGGTACCAGGTCCTAGACCTCTAAGCAGTAATTGACATAATTTAGCCATTAGAT